CGGGCGTCTTACAATATCTCGTTACTTATAGCAAAATCCGGAAAACCGCATACTATCGGAGAGAAGTTAATTTTGCCAGCCGTTGAAGAGGTTTTAAAAACTGTTTTACACAAACCTGCATCTGATATCATTAAAAGAATTCACTTAAGCAACAATACTGTTGAAAGACGTATTGATGAAATGAGTTCTGATATTGAAAGCTTCTTATGTAATTATTTGCAAACGACCCATTTCTCTATACAACTAGACGAGTCAACTTTACCTGATGATGCAGCATTATTATTGGCATATGTTCGTTTTATTATGAATCAAGAAATCTACGAAGAACTGCTCTTCGCAAGAACTTTGATAACCGACACTAAAGGTGAATCAATATTTCATTTTTTGAAGGATTACTTCATTGAAAAAGCAATTCCTTTATCAAATATAATATCAGTAGCTACAGATGGAGCACCTGCCATGGTTGGACGTTATCGTGGATTTATAAGCTATTTAAAAAAAATGTGTCAGGGGTGTAAGCAATACATTGCGTCATCCATCGACAACATTTATTTGCAAAAAATTTGAGTGTTAGATTGCATGAATCACTTCATTTAGTCATTGATGCAGTAAACCGAATCAGAAGCAACGCGTTCAATACGCGGTTATTTGCGCAGTTGTGTGAAGAAACTGACGAACACTTTCATCAATTACTCCTTCACACTGAAGTACGCTGGCTGTCGAAAGGCTTATGTTTGACAAGATTTTTAAGCACTAGCACTTTTTAAGACTATTAGAATTTCTGGATACTAAAGATAAAATTAAAAAAAAAATTAATGAAGAGGAAAACAGACATCGCCTATTTAACAGATTTGTTTACAAAATTTAATATGGTTAATTTGCAATTACAAGGCGACAGTTTAAATTTGATTAAAACAAAGTCCATCTTATCGGCGTTTCTTGCCAGAGTTAAACTAATGAAGCAAAATATTGGACGGGGTGAATTTTCTCAGTTCCCCAATTTGTCACAGACAAGCTGCCAGGAAGACGACGTTTCAACTTACGTTCAACATTTAAATGCCCTCTATTCAGATTTTGAATCTAGGTTTGAGGATATTTTGACTATGGTAATACCACCGTGGATAATTAATCCATATGGTGACACAGAAGAAACGAATGTCATAATACAAGAGGAACTGACTGAACTAAGTACAAACGAAGAACTTAAGGTTCAGTTTAAAAACGAATATCAGCAATTCTGGCTGCAAAACAACATACCCGTTACTTATCCCGTATTATGGAATATAGCGAGGAAATTTATAAATTCCTTTCCATCGTCATACCTAGTGGAAAGGGGGTTCAGCGCTGTTACCAATCTCCTAACGAAAAAAAGAAACAGGCTGGACATCATTAGCCGAGGAGATTTAAGATTAACCCTTACAAAATTGACGCCAAATGTTGATAATTTATTATTAAAGCATCAGGTTCATCCTTCTCACTAAAAATATTGACTTATTGCTTATGTTATTTTATTTATAGTTTATTTTATGTTTATTTAATGTTACGTATATTTTACATAACAGATACAAAATTTTATTTTGAGTAGTTTAAATTTAAATTCAATTAATAAATGTATAAATTAACATGTGTTTTTACTTTAAGTTTTTAACACTAAACATCACTACTGCTAGAAATTTACAGGAAATCAATATCAGGTAAGTAGGGGGTCTACCCAACACGGAAAAACATGGCAAGGGGTCTACGACACAAAAAGTTTGGGGAACTCTGCTCTACGCTTCCCACTACAGCTGAAAGCTGTGACCAAAGTTAAAAATTATTTGCGATCTTCTATGAGTATGAGTTTGAAATAAATAAATAGTAACTTAAATGGGCTTCGAACGAGAAAGTGGAAAAATTCCACTGTCACATAGTATATTTTACATTTCTGTAAAATTAACAGTTTTAAAATGTAAGATTTAGAGTTTAAACTTTCAGATTTACAGAATTTTTAAACTTATTTGAAACTGTAATTTTTCCACTTTCGCGTTTGCCACGTTACTATTTCAAACTATAAAAGTTCCTGTTTTCTTTTTTCTTTTTTTTTATATAAAAATGATTTGTTATATAAAAATGATAAATATTTAAAATCAATCGTAATTAATCAAATACATTCATATGAACTTATCTAAAAAGTGCGTGATTTATGGGCAATTCATTTATTTTACGCGCGATCATTCATAACTAACACGCACACAAGTTCGTTTCAAATATGCGACGCATTTATGAACGACTACCGCATTGTCAACAAGTTCTGTTTTTTAGGGATTTAAAAAAAAAAACGTTTGTTTTTATTTCAATAAACGATTATACTACCGAGTCTAAACCTCCTGTGTGAATTTGGGCATCTTTAGAAACGCCACCCTGTATAGAAGATAAAGGTAAAAATAAATAAAAGTGGGCGTGGGCGGCACTTCTCAGTTTTTGCCCCACCCAAAAAAAAATTGAAGTTTCGGGGCTGATTTTGCCTAATTAGGAGCCATAAGTAGTTCAAATTAAACTGTCGGGTTTCACTATTCGTTCCGATTTTGCGAATGCAGAGTGATGCTGTTTCGGAGACTTGTTATCGCTGGATTTGCGTCATCGAGCGTAGCTATAGTCTCAGGTTGGTTGACGATATACTGGACGGTCCAAGGCCTTGTATTTGATCTCGAGACGATGCCAGTCCAGTACAGTTTTGGTCGGAAGGACTGCACCGGTGTTCTGGCCTCCTTGAGTTACATTACTCAGTGCAGTATAGTGGGAGTCGCAGGAGCCTTCTTCCGGGTGATTATGTCCTCATAGAATGTAAGAACGGCAGCCGACGACCTCTCTCCATGTGGTACCTTACGAACCTATATACGTAATTTTTGATGTAAAATTTGACGATTCATAATATACAGAGAGATTTTTTGAGAAGTGCCCAAATTTACACAGGAGGTTCAGACTCGGTAGTATAATCGTTTATTGAATTAAAAAACAGTTTTTTTCCCAAAAAAAAAAATGCCATTCCCTAAATAACAGAACGTGTTGACAATAATACCAAAATTTTACTGTGCACGAACTTGTGTGCGTGTTAGTTATGAATGATCGCGGGTAAAATAAATGAGTTGCGTATAAATCACGCAATTTTTGAGAAAGTTCAAATGAATGTAATTAATTACTTAGAGTGATTTTAAATATTTATTATTTTTTATATAACCTGATTTATGTCTAGAATTTAATAAAAAAATGGATACACTTAGAAAAGCCACCCTGTATATTCATAAGTCTCTTTGAATAAATACATTTTTGGTTTGGTTTGATGAATCATTTCTGGCGTTCTGCCTGTGGTATACAGGTGTCGTCGGCAAAGAGGGCCTGTTCTACATCTTTAACACGCGGCATGTCGTTCGTGTAGAGCGTAAACAGGACTGGATCGTCCAACCCCACACCCTAAAGGAAGAGGTTTGGTTTCGTCAAGTAGCCGCGGAATCACCCTCGCCGCATTGGTATCACGACGATCTCCTTAGTTGGCTGTTTGACATGTCCGCTGTTCGTAGTCACTTCTACCCAATTCACATCTAATTTCCAAAAGGTTGTCAACGGTTGTCTAATTTCGCAAAGGTTGTTATGGGCAGTGGGATTCGCTTAACATCAGGTTAACCGCCTGCTCGTTTGGAAAATTTTCACATTAAAAAAAAAACACTCATGCCACGCTTTCAGCTCCTGGATATGTCTTGCTCACTCATGCTGGCGGCCGTGTGATACGCGGTAGGTATGGTTTCAAATCAAATCTAATTAATATTTATTCACATAGACGCTTGCGCGTTCTTATGAAACGTCAAAATTTAATACGTTCGTAAATTACCACCTTGCATATTATAACTACGTCCTCGAAGTGGTGTGATGCCTCGGTGCCGCTGGTCTCACGCCGGTGCTGGAGTAAAGGGTAGGTACTCCTTCACCCACCTGGTCCAAAAGATGCCTGCTATGGTTTGCACTCAATTCCATTGGTGACTAGCTGAGACGTTACGTTCACTGAAGTGTCTTGGCGCTGTCACATATATGATTAATTTGTTTTTTTTTTAGCTAGAACCCACGGGTTTGGGCCCTCCGCTGTGGGTAGGGCCGCGCATGTGTTCATGCGTGCGTTTAACTATGGTGTGGTTTTAACATCTAAGGGCCATCGAGGTTGCGGATCGGACCGAAACCCCGATGGCCGTCGACTGTGCAATTAGCTGGTGGCTGGGAGCGGTGAGAACCGCCCCGGAACGCGGGTGTACCTTGTGTACGCGTTGTGTTGGTCTCGCCGTGCTCGGAGGCGAGGGCGAACTAGTGTGTTTGTTGTAACTGTGGGTGTAGTATTATCCGGCGGGTATACCACTTATGAAAATATTCATGGTCTTCAATGATAATTCAGTGCATAGTAATACACAGCTCTTCTTATAGAAAGGGTAAGCTTTATAGCAGAGACTAACATCACAGTTCTGCACAGTCAATGACTCTAGACAGGAAGAAAAAAGCATGAAATTTATAATAATATTATATTTATCCATGAAGACATTTAACAGACATTAATTAATAAACATACTATTAACTGATTTACAATTCAATGTAAACAACTGTTTAGTCAACTAATTAATTACTACTTAATACATACACAAAACAAACCCACAAAATGCTTGTCATTATTTAATTAAATTTGCTTATTAATAACAATTAATAATGTATATTACTTCATTGTAATCACAAAATACTACTCCAGAGATGTGAGTAATCAACATTTTAGGTGGCATGCATGCTAACATGAATCATGCAGCAGAACAATTATCACAGCACTTGTAAAAATTGTGGTGTCAAAAGACGAAATTAATTATTTACAAAATTAAGCAGTTTTCCCATGGGGAGCCCCAGATGTCCGAGATCCTTAATTATTTTTTTTATTATGTCACATCTTAAAATACTAATTTACACTTAAACAAATTGATTTTCAAGTAAATTTATCTACGTTGGTTACGCTTTTTCTTATTTTTACGACCCTGGTTGCCATTTTGAGAATTCCCAGTGGATGTAGACGGTCCATTTGTTAATAGAGGTTGAGCAACTAGTGGAGGGGTGATTGGCGCTGGATCTTGTTGAGTTATGCTGGTTGCAATATAGCCATTGTGCCTATGAGGAACAGGTATTGGGGCACGTGTTTGCGGTGTGGGCAGCGGTGGTTGAGTGACTGGTGGTTGTGTCGCGTTTAAAGCAGCCCTTAGTCTTTGCCGCATACGTCTACGAGCATTGCGGGACAACGGTTGACCCGCATTGTTTAATTGGTCATTCATAGATAGAGATTCATTTACATTTTCTGCAACAGCAGTATGTTCATCGTCATTATTTATACTGGGATCGTCATCAATCCTGGTGCGAATCTCTGCTTCAGAACGCACTAAAGAATTGGCTTCTAAGGAGGCAAAAGCACGTGAAAGTCTTGCAACATTATCTTGCAAGTCTTGTAGTACATTCTCTCGATTGTTAACACGATTGGCAACTCTCATCACAGCACGGGGTTGAGTTTGATGTGCCAATTGATCCGGGGGCGTACGCCTTAAAGATAATTTTCCACTTATGGATACTGGCGACGTTAGTGCTCTGGCGTCCAATCCATTGACTATTAAGCAATGACCTCTTTTTTTAAGGGAACCTTCACAAGATCTTACTGACCAAACCTGCAAAAATAATAATTAAGCATCATTTAAAACGAGCAACATTTAATTAAAAAGGGAATGTTATTAGAATATTGGTGCAGGCCACTTTTCATCTAATAAACAATGTTTTTTTAAATTATAAATTAAGACATTTACTTACACAGTCGGAAAATATAGCTTCACGGTCATTGCCAGAAATTGTCACAGTGTAACTGAATTCATGAGCCACCCAGGGTGAAGCAGCCATTGTCAACCATGCACATACACTATCACCTAAAATAAAAGTATTAAATAAACAATGTATTTCTGCATTTAACAGCTTCAACTGTTGCACAAATAGGCAGGTCCGTCCAAATATCTTTATTCAACTTATTCATAGTCAAAATACTATTAAGAAGTAAACTAAAATTCCGGTTCGGAAAAAAAAGCCCCTGAATTGAGAAGATTCGGCGAAAGAAACTCAGCGGGCTATAAAATAAATATAATAATACAATAAAAAAGTCCACCAGAGCGAGTTATCATTTACTTAATCATTAATATTATAATAGCCTTTAACACAAACATTCTTTTACTACTTTTGGGGCCCAGAATATAAACTGAGCGAATAGCTCTGTTTTGGAGGATAAAGCTTTTATTAAAGTCAGCCGCGTTACCCCAAAGTAGAATGCCATACATAACTAAAATATACCAAGTGAACCGAATCTACATCAGTCAAATATCTTATTTTTTTTGAATGAACGCATCTAAGTCTACTCGCCAGCTTATTAATATGGGGGCCCCAATTCAGTTTGGCATCAATATTTATGCCAAAGAGTACAGTTGAGTCAATAGTCTAGCACTTACTACTTTAAGTAGTACTATAGTAGTAGTAGTTCTGGTAAGAACCACAACCTCAAAGAACACGGCGTAAATTGGAAGTTTTATACTTCTATGTTTTGTCTAATGAATGCTGTACCCGTGGCCCACTTTATTAAAAGGTGGCCAACATATTATCTGCAACCCTACGGGTGTTGCGAATGTCCATAGGCAGTAGTTATCACTTTACATCAGGTGAGAATGCTTGCCACCTTCTCACAAAAAAAATTGTTCCCTTATTTAGAATATAATTGCCATATTCAGATAAATAAAAAAAAAAACTCACTGCTTATTTCAATTATCAAAAAGAAGATTCCCATGTCAGATACACGGACAGCAGTTACAATTCTGCCAGGTGCAGTAGGAAATTGCCAAGCTTGTAAATACTCCCCATGTTCAGATTGACCCTAAAATGTAATAAATATCGTTGTTGAACTCATAATTTGGAAAAAATATAGTTAATCCTTAAAAAACTCATATATTTCTTACCTCAATAAGATCAGGAGAATGAAAATAACGGAGGTGATTCAATAAACGTGCAGAGGGTAGTCGTTCAGCATTTCCATTTTTGCAACAGAGACAGCGAAAAAGACCTTTGCACGCCTGTGGTGCCCTCAATATGATTTGCTAAGATCATTCATAAAATTTAATCATTTTTGAATCGTAAAAATATTATAATATTTAATAAATGTAATTGGGCATAATAATAAATAGTGTAAAAACTTCATCTATTTTTCTATAAATTTTTTATTTTAAATGCTAACTAAGACACTAAAATGCGAACTTAAGATATTAAAAAAACTAACTTTTCAAAACATAATATGTTATATGTAACATTCGTAACATTACAGACTACATACATAGATTACAATGAAAGATTTAAATTTTTCGGTGATTCCTAAAATAATATATTCAAAACACTGAGCAAAATGCATACTAGTTGAACTATTTTTAGAAGGTTAAGCCAAAGCATGATGACTTTGGTAGTGGTGGAGTTCTCATTTCGAACAGTAATATTAATTATTTTAAACTGTGTTAGGACCATGCAACCATGTTCAGTGTTGCATGAATGGGCAGGTCTGTCCAGGTTAGTAACACGACGTCACAGAAGACCGGTGTGAAGTAGAACTGTTACACATCTGCATTTCGTCTGGTAAGTGAGGTATCCAGGGCCCACTTTATTATAAAAAGGTGGCAATGGATATGCAACCCTACAGGTGTTGCAAATGTCCGTAGGCGGCGGTTATTACATAACATCAGTTGAACCGCCAGCTCGTTTGTCACATAAAAAACTTTTAGAGACTGTGTCTGTGTGGTGATAAAACATATTGTATTAGGAGTTCTTTGAATACTTAGTGCAAAATTATATTAAGACCAAATTTCTTTTGATGTATTAAAAGTATAATTATTAAGTCATAAAATAAAAAAAGTGACTACTATTATTTTATTTTCTTGAATGCAAATTTTGTAGTTATCAATTAAACTATTGACCATCAGTACTAGCTACAGTGTACAAAATATAACATGTATTTAGTACAATGTAGCAAGAGCTGGTGAAACTAATAAATTAAAAAAGGGAAAGATATTTATATCATAACATGTTTAGTAATTTATAAAAAACTTATTCATAAAAACCTATGTGGCAAGATAAACTTAACAAGAAGGAAGGCTTCCCAGTATGATTATAGTAAATATATAAAAAAAATTAAAATTGGTGCTTACTACACAGACCTCAAGACAAGATGGCATTAGTTTGGATGATTTTATAATTCTTACATTTGCCAGTTGGTAGATTTATTATAGCTTTTAAAAACATTACAAAGATGACCATTTTGGGAGAACTTTCATATTTAATTTGAATTAAAATTCATCATTCATAGTCACAGACAAGACTAAACATGGTACATTAATTATTTAATAATAAATAGTGTTACATAAGGCCTTTGATAATATTCTGAAGTTATATATTATTTGATTCTCAATTATAGATTCACCATTCAACTTACATTTGGTAAATTAGGATTGTTTTCTTCATCTTCACCTGTATCATTTTCATTTTCTCCTGACCCTGCATCACAAGCTGGTGTACTACTCTCTGAGGAGCCTGAACCTGTGGTTGTTTTACTTAGCTTCTGCAACACAATTTTTTTTAATGTTTCTTTTGCTACTAGTAAGATTGTATTATTGTACTTATTCTTTGGCTTAACATAACTCTATCATGTCTATTTCCATTTACACCTTGTATATGAATATACACATAACTAGTGCTAAAAATACTGTTGTTATCATAAACAAAAGCATTAACAGTATCTTCAAGAAATAGGAACTGTTTTTTTTTTTAAATGTGGCTAATGAAATTTCATCATAAAATAGTTTTTTTGATAGGTAGGGGTAGACAAAAATGGTTGAGGTAAAAGTAATTTATGTCCTGAAAGAGTTTTATTAACTCACCAGGAAAGTTAATCAGTGTCTAGTTTGATGGTATTGTTAACTAATCAAAGATTATTCTATAGTTTCTTTTTATATAACTAATCATTCCAAAATAATGATACAAAAAAAGAATGTATTGAATATTTGTATACTTACAAATGCTCGTAATTTTCTAAAATTTGCAATGAGTTCTTCCATTGCATAGTTGCGTGTGCCAAAAAACAAAGCTCGGCAGACAGGACATACATCAAGACGGATTTTGCATCTTCCACACACATGGTGTCCTTCATTACATTGGAATATTTGTCCTGTTGGGATTTCATAGCAAACTGGACATTGCAACAAGTCATCAAGATTCAGCAATGGTTCAGGCTGAAAAGAATAGGTTGATCATAATATTTTGAGCATGCAGCATTAAAAAAAATTAATACATAAAATTTTAAATGCATTTATAAAATAAAAAAATATATAAAAAATCTTCAACCGTTTTCCCATCATACTTAATTGAACTTTAGCTATATTTATTAGCCTCAAATCCATCAAAATTTATAATATATTGCAGTTAATAATTACAGTTATATTTTTTTAACGTCGGGAATTACTTTGTTAAGGACACGACTTGTTATGAGGAAGTAATTTATGTAGTAAGGTATCATTATATATAATATATATTTATGAATAGAGAGAGAACTTTAAAAAATATAATAATTAATGACTGTATTAAGTTGTAAAAAATTGAAGTAGGTACCTAAATTAACGTAAAACCCTGAAAATAAGTTAATATACCCTCAAAAATGCTTAAAATTTAATTATAAATTCAATTGAAATACCACTGGAAAGTCTAGTACATTACATTATAGGACATAATTTACACATAGTTAATAAAATTATAGCATACATAATAAAAAATAGCACGTTGAATAAACGACTAAACTATTGATCAACCGACAAGGTGGAACAATGGAAATTGAAACGTAAATATAGCTTAAGTTATTTTATAACAAGTTACCTGCATCTCCACCTTTTCAGCCATTGTAAGGGTCTTCTAAAAAGTGAAGACTATAATAAATTGTAAACGATTTGCTATCCGTATTGCTTAACGATTAATTAACTAATAATGATACACAGCTGTAACTTTAAAGATGGAGGAGGATCTCGACAGCCCTTATGGTCTGTGTTACCACTTACCAGCTCTCGAAAATAGTTGTCCCTTAAGTTAAAGTAAAAAAAAAAACCCTACAAAAATAATAATATTAAATAAACAAAAATTGCAGGGCATTCAATTTTATAAAAAATTGTCTCCATAATTTGTTAAGACGACCAATATTTTAACCGAAAATATAAAAATTTGATTCATAATGAATGATGATTTTTTTTTATAATTTAGGCGCTTTCTTTAAAGCCTGATTTACATTCTGCATACTGTTCTAGGACAATGTAGAGAAGCAAATAAAAGTAATGTAGTCAGTGGCAAGCAACGGATAAGTGCCTATTTACACTTCAGCAAGTACAATGACCTTTCTCTGTCTTTGTGTACAATGACATTCTTCTGTGTTTGAAATGGACGAGCAATAAGTGCAGTTTTGCTGCCTGTTGCAAGCCACTGTACTAATTTGACTGTGTACACTACGGTAAGTGACGAGTCAAGTGCCCTGCGGTGGTATAAGTGGGCGCGTGAGGGGTTGACTTGCACCAAATACAAAGGTTTTCTATTTGGGTCTACTAGCAAGGCAGCCTACAAGCCAAGTCCAATGGTTTATACTACTGCACTTACTAATTGTACTTATCTATTTTACTAAACACTTGACCACTATAAATTGGGCTTATAAGTTATCTTCGTAAATATTTAAATGCGTATTAACGGACACCTTTTGTCTCTACTCTCCATAGTTCAACTACGCATTCTTAGTAATGAAAAATCGTGTAGATGTTGGTAGAACAACAAATAAATATGATTGAGTAGATTGCGTTACTCCAGGCCCTTTGTTTTTATAGCTTTATTTTTCTCAATCAAAAAAATAACAAAAAGCAAAACGTAGGAAAAATACGGGGTGGCTTATCTAAGTGTATCTTTTATTTTTTTTAATTCTAGACATAAATAATGTTATGTAAAAAATGATAAATATTTAAAATCACTCGTAATTAATTAATTATCCCAAAAAGTTCGTGATTTATGGGCAACTCATTTATTTTACTCGCGATCATTCATAACTAACACGCACACAAGTTCGTGCACAGTAAAATTTTGGTATTATTGTCAACACGTTCTGTTTTTTAGGGAATGGCATTTTTTTTTTGGAAAAAGAACTGTTTTTTATTTCAATAAACAAAAAAGTATACGACTCATTTATGAATGACTACCGCATTGTCGACAAGTTCTGTTTTTTAGGTAATGGAATGGCAATTTTAAAATGGCAATTTCAAACGATTATGTTACCGAGTCTGAACCTCCTGTATGCATTTAGGCTCCTTTAGAAAAGCCACCGTGTATAACAAGTCAAAATATCCCTAAACATATAACGACCCTAAAAAACTCAACGTATTTGTTTACTCCCTAAATTTGGAGGAGATATCCCTAAGTTGGCAACCCTGCTTATGGGCTGCCATACAACAATATAATAAACATTTTTTTCTTACACACTTAAATTTTTTGGACTCAAGAGAAACAATAACAAGATCTAAGGGCAGTTTGGAGGGGAATTCGAACTTTGACTTGGACCTTATTAGATAGAGAAGGAAGCCTCAGGATACTGAGGGAGTAAAGTAACAGCATATAAATATCCCACTGCTGGACATAAGCCTACTCTTTACAGGGCATATTACACCACGCGAGCCCACTGCGGAAAAGAGGACTTCTAAATATTTTTCCTGGGAATGTTATTAGCACGTGACAAGTCAACACTTAAAATTAACAAATTCTTGGTGTCAACACCGGCACCGTCACAGCTCATCGTCCGGGCGCTCGATTTTAATTCAATAAACTCGAGCAACCTGAGATCGATTCCCGGTGCTGGCACCTGAGCGATAAATGGGGTAGATAAGTCTAAATTATTTCTTATTCTAAAAAACGTGCTTGCAATCATGTAAGAAAACGATTATTTACGTGAAATAATCGCTTTCCAGAACACAAGATGGATAGACGACTTAGTTTCAATTTGTCTCAAATTTTTTTTTACCAGTTGTAGCCAAAACGATGTATTTTTTATTTTTTTAATCTACGCAATAAGTTCGGCGGCCTTAATAAGCCACGGAATGGAGATAAAACCGGCCAAGTGCGAGTTGAACTTGCGTACGAAGGGTTCGGTACCATCATTTATAAAAACGGCCTAAAAATCATGTCTGTTGTGTGAGCCTCAATTAAATATTTTTTAATTCTATGTCCCGTTTTCCCTTTGGGTACGGAACCCTAAAAACAGTGGAAGTTGTTGTTAACTCCCACTAACAGTCCTTAGCAAGTATATAGTGTATTATATAGTGTATGGGACCATAGGGTCCCTAGCACTAAAGAACACAGTGGAAGTGGTTCTCACAGTTCCTATAACCGGATCCGCCATTTATAATACATATGTACTGGGATCCGCTTTACTCTGAACTGCTAACGTATCTTAGCTGCTATTGGCATTAATTATTCACATTATTTAAACTTACATGTCAATTGCTAAAAACTTTGTTTTATTTCAATAAACGATTATATTACCGAGTCTAAACCTCCTGTGCGAATTTGGGCACCTTCAGAAAAGCCACCCTCATGATACAACCGATTGATTAACTTCTCATGATACTGAAGTTAGCCGACGTCTAATAATATTTGAAATTTTTTCCAACGATATATAAATATATAAAAATAACTTGACTTAGAGTTTTAACTTTCTTCATTTGCAGGGTCTTATTACCACGCCATATAATCTTTATTAAAAAAAGAATAATTATGCACGCATCTATTAACACTAAACACCAAATTAGAGTTGCGTTAAAAATATATCGAAATTGATACAAGTTCGATAGTCGAAAATAAATGTTGAGTATCGATATATATCGGGAACAAAAATATCGATGATATATATCGATATTTATTTGGAAAAATATTGACATTTTTATATATCGATATTTTTTGCCCATGCCTAATGTTTACTGGAAATATAGAAAATAGTACGGATGTGACATTCAGAGGTAAAAACCGATTATTAAATATTAATCGATTTTGTAAAATAATTTAATCAGAAGAAATATTAATCGATTTTGAAAAAATCGATGATTTTCTGTCATTCTAAAAATCCTGCAACAAAACTTAAAAGAGATACGTATAGTGTTCGCAGCTTCCCAGAATCAAAATCAAAATGAATAGTATAAAAAAATAACCTTAACGACAACATTCTGATTTCATAACAAAGATACATTATGAACACCACCCTATTAGAAATTCCTGCCTTACTGTGTAAATTTAATAACCTATTCACGAGCACTAAAACTGTTCGCTGAACGCATTAATAGGGTGACCACTCTTAACTGGATAATCAAACAATGTTTGAATTGATATTTTTCTGGTTATTTCTTGTCAAAATAAAATATTTATTTTTTTTGAATTATGGAATGCTCAATTAACATAATGTCAAAGTATGTACTTAGTCTAAAAAAATCATCCTAAATACATACAGATGGCTGTTAACAAAAATCGTTTAAAGAAGTTAAATTGATCTAATCGATTTATATGAAAATCGATTATTACTTACAACCCTAGAAAATAGAAATATTGTACGACTGTACGTCATTCATAGTTTCATCGTCTTGTTTACTTTTTTTTGTCAAAAGTAATCTTACACTAGTATAACTATAGAATAGAATCATAATTAGTCCCTGTTATAACAATGCCATGCAATTGGGATGTTTTATTGCTCTTTACTATGTTACTTAATTTTGAATGTAAGCAGTTTGCTTGTTAAATCGAATTTGGTTATTACTTAAGGCCATAAGTTATTTATTTTTACAGTATTTTGCTGCGAAAGGCTTCATGAACAAATATATTCATCCATTGAAGGCGGTGCTGCGTGTTTTAAACGCTTAAATGGAACTCATGCCGCAGGATGTTCATGTGAGTTTGAATTTGAGATATTGTTTGTAATTTAAGTGATATCTATTAGAAATAACCCAGCGCAGTCATAAGACCATATAGGCTGTTCAATGAGGATTGTAGAAATGTTATAAAACAATAACAAACGATTACATCTGATAGTTTAAAAACTAAATGATATTGTGAAGACCATAATGTGTACTCTGTATCATTAAAAAGGAAAATCCAAATAATGTTTGCTTGAATTTTTAATTAAAACAAATCAATGCTTATCAAAAAATAAAACTGTTTATCTTAATTTTAATTACTGTGTATACTATTATATACATAATATAAATATTACATAATAAATGAATAAAAACAATTTCAGCTTCTATTAATGGAGCCGTGGGTGTAGTTCAAATGATAAATGATATATCAGATGCTCAATGGTTAGCTCATAATGCATCTGCTGGACCATACATGGCTGTAGTTAGCACTGCACTATTCCATGATGTTATTGAGTTGGTAATGGCAAATCCTGCAAATACTGCTGGTATTCTAATTTATCATAATTCAACAATGAGGTACATACTTTCATACTATTATAGATAAAAAAACCTTTGTATATTGGTAAAGCCTTTAATTAGGAAAAATTGTGAAAAAATTTATTATTTTCTACTTTTTAGTTCAGTTTTTTTTTTCTATTATTTATTTTCTATTTCTTTTGTTTCTAGTTGTGCTAAATATAAATTTTTAAATGCATACTTGGCACAAGGACGCTACTGGGTATTGGATTGGGAAAATAGCTAATCCTAAAGGTCCTGATCATAATGGGAAAAACTATTTAAATTACTGCATTGTCATTGGTCCTTGACAAGTGTGCAAATTTTAATTCAAATCTGATTGTTCAGAGCAGGGCAAAATCATGTTTAAAGATTCCATTACATTCATACTTACATACAGTTGGAACTAATATAAGCATTTTTTTTACTGTTGATTACTTTTTTCTAAATACAAGAGAGAAGAAGACTGAATTTTACTGTTATTTTTCAATATCATTATATACATAGAAATAATAATTGTTTCATGTAATTATAGTTTTTGTAATTAGAACTGTGATAGCTCAGTGTCCACTTGAGCAACCTGAGTTAGATCCCCAGTGCTGGCACTGATGAAATTGTTAATTTTAAGTGATGAATTATCATGTGCGTGTGGTGTCAAAGGTGAAGGAAAACATTGTGAGGGAACCTCATGTGAGGGAACCTATTTTCTTATAGTAAAAAAAATTTTTTTGAAGATATGTGTAGTCCACCAATTCGCAGTGGGGCCACCTGGTGGACTATGCCCTCATACCCTCAGTACAGAGGCCTTTGCCCAGCAGTGGGATAGTTATAGGCCGATACTTTACTTTATTTTTAATAATGTATTATGTGCATTTTTTAAACACTTTGCTTTTAACTATTTTTTTATATGGGAATAAAAATTTTTAATCTTACAGACCAACAAAATTTAGTCAAGAATCAAATTGTCCAAATGAATATTCATCTGATCCTAATAGCCAATGCCCTTCTAAAACCACTGGGGTTGCATGGAATGAAGGTGGTACAGGGCTGTTAAGAAGAGACATACCATTTCCTATTTTTTACCTTCCTCACTCTCGTAATAAGGAGATTGAAAAAATTGACAAGTGTTATAAAAGGTAAACTGACTAGTTAACTTACTAGTAACAAAGTGTATAATATATTCCATTTTGGAACATCAATACTGCATTTTTTTTTTTATGTGAAAAGTTGCCAAACGAGCAGACGGCACCTGATGGTAAGTGAATACCGCCGCCCATGGACATCTGCTATATACCCGAGGGTTACAGATGTGTTGACAACCTTTTGAAAATTGGGCTCCGGCTTCCTCACTCACCAGACGAAACGCGAAAGTATTTGTCATACCTCCACTTTACGCTGGTCTTCTGTGAGGTCGTGGTACTTACCCGGACGGGCCTGCCCATTCGTGCAACAGCCGAGGTTGTTGCGAGGCCCTACCACCGTTAAATGCTGCATGCAGAATCATTGTCATTGTATCCTCCACTGCTTCATTAATGTTTAAAAATTTACGCTATGTGCAGGATTTGCTTATCTTATTTTGTCTTCTTTTCATCACAACTTTAAATACCATCATCAATCAAACATCAAACAACAAGTTATGTGTTCACATCAGGCTAGTAGGTTTCTCATTTTTTATTAATTTAAAAAATGTTATCAGTTATATTGCTTAGACAATTGTCTATTTCTAAATCTCAAATACAGAATTTAAAGTTTGGCTTGAAAGAACAAGCTATTATTATAATTATTTAATTTTCTTTGACTGATATTTTGCTTTCTGTCTATAGACTTTTAAAGCTTCACCAAACAACTCCTGAGACAGCCAGATGTTACAAACCATATACAGGCCTCTCCATTGGGAAAGCTGATTATTATGATAATAATATGTTTATACACTGCAAACAAGATGTTATGACCTTTTCTTTCTAAATAAGTTCTAGTATAAATAGTTTCAGGTTATCAAAATGATGAGAACGAGTAGTGTTGGCTAATTCTAGAATTATTTCAGGTATAACATTGATAAAATTAATCAGGAAGGAAAGCCACTCTGCTCAATACAGTTAAATTCTTTTATGTTTGCTGCTGTAAATAGTGCAGTTTGCTTAAGAAGGTAAGTCCTAAATTATTTATTTTAAGAAAATAAAGATAATAAATCTCAATTTTTTTTTGGTTGCCTTGACCTATTTTTGATTAACTGTGAAAAACTATAAAATTAATAAAACTTTCGTGAGACATTATTAACATAGTAATAAGACGGCTGAACTCACCTAAACCCGGTGTATGTACTATTGGACCACCTGAACAAAATACATCCAAAGATACATTTTACAACAGAGGTGGAAAAAGACGTAACTCTCGCATTCTTGGATGTACTTGGGAACCCAACGGAAGCCTGGTACATACCGTATTCAGGAAACCGACGCATACGGATCGGTATTTAAGAGCAGATTCCCATTACCATCCGTCGCAACTGTCTTCTGTGGCACGCACTCTTATTAATCGTGCACTTCGCCTATGCGATTCCCAATTCCTGGAGTTCGGAATTCGGAATTGACACACGTGCGGTAGGTGTTAGAGTGCAATGGTTATAGCTGGCGACTGAGTTACCGTCTGGTAAACACAACTAGCAAACGACGGCCTCAGAATGTGGAGCGAGTCCCGGTATATTTACCATATATGCGAGGGGTAACGGATCAAATTGGACACCTGTTACGCCGTTGATATAGCATCAGGACAATTTTCTGCCCCATGACACAGTTAAGATGTCTCTTACGATCGCCTGAGGATCGGGACTCTCTAGAAAGCCCTGGCGTCTACGAAATCCCATGCGACTGCGGCAAAAGCTACATTGGAGAGACGGGACGCAACATAAGCACTAGACTCACCGAACACATCCTCAGTATACGAAAATTGGATATCAACACCTTGGCGGTGGCAACAACTCCGACACCTCACATTTTATTATGTGCGATAAGGTGAAAGTGCTAGCCCGTGAGAAGAATTTCGTGTCACGGAAGCTCTTGGAAGCCATAGAGATCGAACGACGGGCCAATTTTAATAGAGAAAAGGGATGGGCTCTGCCGTCTACTTGGAAACCTGTGTTGTTGAATGCGACACGGAATACCAATCTCCTGGACGCGTCATCATCGCCGACGCAAACCCCCCCCCCCCATCCAGTCCTCCGATCCATCAGTCCGAAACCAGTCGGTACATACACCGGGTTTACGTTAGTTCAGCCGTCTTATTATTACGTTATGTGAAAAACTAAATAAAAGTTATAGATTAATATTTAGATTACATTAGATATGGACTTTTAAATAATGCTTTAAAAGTAACTACAGTCACCATTTAATTGGACCTATTTACGCGGAAAGGACGCAATATAAATTTTATTCAAAAGTGAGTTAGTACTACCAAAATTATCTATTAAGCAGGCTTCTTCATTATTTTTATTTTGTGTTATTTTACTGAGCAGCAAAATTCACAGCAATTTTTTAACCCCTCCAAAAAATAAGTTTTGTGGAGGTCTTCAAAATAGCCATTTACACCTGCGAAGCAATCCTCATTTGTCAAAAATCTTTGCTCTCCAAGCCATCTATTCAGATTTGGGAATAGGTAGGTCGAATAGGCGAATACGGAGCAAGCGGAACCAGCTCGAAGCCCAACTCGTGGATTTTGGCCATCGCAATAGCTGACGTGTGCACTAGGGCAGTGTCGTGATGAAAGAGGACTATCTTGGGGGACAATTTTGGTCGTTTTTTCATCAATTCGGCATTAAAACGGTCCAATAATTCTGCGTAATAACTGCCAGTGATAGTCTTTCCCATTTCCAAGTAATTAATCATAATGATTCCTTCGCCATCCCAGAAGACTGTCGCCATCACCCATTCTTTGAGGCACGTTCACCAATCGCCATCCATTGTTTTGATTGCTGTTTTGATTCAGGTGTATAATGATGGACCCAATTTTTGTCCTTAGTGTCAAATCCACTCAAAAAATTCCGAGGATTACGCTTCATCATATCCAAACACAGTTTTGAAATTCGCTTTCGTTCGCGTTTTTGTTCGATTGTCAACAAACGTGGCACCCATCGTGCAGACAGCTTTGTCATATCCAAATCTTCATGCAGGATTTTATGTACTCGCTCAGTGGAGATGCCTGTGTTCTCAGCTATTTCATGCAACTTCACTCGGCGGTCGTTGAGTAGTGACTTTGATTAGACGACCAGAGCGTGGAGCATCTGATGTGCCGACCACATTTAAAATCATTTATCCAGTTATAAACAGTCTGCAACATTGGTTTGTTAGTACCATGAACAGAAACAAGTTTAGTTTTTTTTGTATTGCAGCACTGCAACCCTTCATAAAAATGTTTTATAACGGCACGAAATTTAGATTTTTCCATAGTTGTTGAAAATTTACGAGTGATCACAGTTAAACAATGGTTAAACTGACAAAAACTTGTTTATTTTTTTTTTTTGCTGAATTTTTGACCGTCTTCATTTGAAAGATTGTGTCTGCTAGTTCATTTTATTTTCAGTTTTAAGAACTGGAAAGTATCTAAACCATTTCCAATAAATAAATTTTAAGCATGATGGTGTAAGGTTGAAAACTGAATTTTATATTAAATTTAATAAAATCAATATAAAAATAGTGTTATTGAATAAATTAACTTGTAGGTACAAGTATTTGCTGCCTTGGTTCTTATGATTTGGAGAGGCAGCATTTTTATCAGTATCATAGCATAGAAACAGTAGCATAAAAATAGTTTCGTTAATATGCTACATAAAAACTTGATTTTTAAATAAAATGTCTATGTAATTTATGGCAAAACAATGTTTGCCACAAAAATTTGATCAGCTTGTATGTTACCTGTGCATATCTATGTACCCTATACACACTCCTACCCAACAGCCGAATAAGTATCTAGAATAAAAATATAATTGACTTGCTGACATTTTTAAAGACGATAAATACCTATCTGAATGTATCATTAAAGTCATATGTAGTCAGTTGATTACTTGACCTGATGTGAATAACCGGGATGGGTTATCCGAGTACATTTTTGAAATAATAGTAAAAATATTTCAAAGATATGTGAATTGTGCTAATCTGCAGTGGGATCACATGGTAGACTATGTCCTAACATCCCCTGGACATTGGAGGTCTTTACAGCAGTTGGACATATATAGGCTGCTTTACTTTTTAAATACAATAATAAATTATATATTATAATATATTATATTTTTGTTATATTCTAAACATAGCCACAATTTAAATTTTATTTTCAGGTCAGCTACATCAGCTCTTCTTACACCAACTAAAGTTTGTGACCCTTTGGGGGATCAAAATGTCTATTATTCACTTTTCCCCCGCATAAAGGTAAGTAGGCAAATAATTTTCGGATAAAAAAATCTAACTAAACCAAATGGCTTTTTAAGCTCTACTTTGAAACATGGAATAACACTTAACACTAATTTTTTGCACAATTGAATACATTTTATTTTATGAAAAACATGAAATCAAACTATATTGGAAAAATTATTTCTTTAAATGAATAATACACTGCTCCCTAATACCTTCACTATAAAAAAAACAGGGACAGATCGTGAACACTGTAATAATTTTTCAGGGAGATGAAGTCAAGAAAAATTCAGTCACACTAGTCACTGCTAGGATTGATACAGCCTCTTTGTTTGATGGTGAGTATTTTCAATTAATACCTCTTTATAATAAAAGTAGATTTATTAAAGGATACGAATTTTTATAGTGCCATTCTCTACACTTGTGGTTAAATTAAAAGATTTGTGGAGTAAATGGACGAAGAGTTTCGTTGCTGAGAGGATTTAAAGCAGGTTAAAAACCCGACAAACTTTTAAAGTAGAATTACATTTATTTTGTTGCATTGTAACTATTATAACCTTATTTATAATATTATTTTGTTCAGAACATGAAGTGGATAAGTGAAGTATTCTTCGTAATTAATAAGATGTTGCAAGAGAAAAATTTCTAGAATTGTTATGTGATAGAATTAATTTTTATGTTACATGTTGTGAGCCATAGCAATAACGAACAAAAAATCATTTGAAGATAAGAAGAGAAGTCTGCCAACCCGCAATTGGCTTGCTAGGGAGACTGAATTATGTTTGTATAGGTGTTGCACCTGGAGCCGCTAGCTCAGTGGTGGGAATGGTGTCCGTCTTAATGTCTGCAGTCACTCTAGCAAAAATGATACCCATCTCCGATTCCAGTTTGTATGGTTAGTATCATATAATTTATTGTATTATAAAATATCTCTGAAACATAGGTATTAGCAGTAAAAAAAATCTTTGTGTTATAAAAGTATGTACAATAATAGATGGGATGGAATCATGAATTTATTTATAGCAGAGTAATTTTTTATAGAGATCATCACTTTAAAATTGTATTTAAGTCAAATTCAAATACGTGTCTTTAAAAACTTTATTATATTCTTTCTATATATTCGTAGTGAAAGGATCTTTAAGGGTTTGAAGTCAAGTAGACTAATACTTTTAATGTTTCTTTTATCATGAATCGTAAGTGACAGGTTTTCCATAGCATGCTATAGCTTGATATTTGAAAAGTTATAGCGGTCATTTTGTTAATGTAGCAAATGACGCTTTTAACTTTGCTGTGTGAATTATTGTTCAGTTAATTTTAACCAAAATTGACAATTATATGTGAACCGGAAGTACCCTATAGGTTTTGTGTCGAAAACAGATATGGTAGTTCCCGTTGATGTAGAATCACGAATTTCGGACAAAAGCCAAAAAAATAAAAAAGTTGAAAATTATGGTGAATTATGGTACTTACAAGTTTTCGCGAAAATCTATATTTTCCCATATCTTTTTATCGTGCTGACTGAGGACCTTCATTTTTAAATTTCAACTTGCTAGGTAAACCCGTTCCTGAGAAAACCGGTGGTGATTATTTACCAAATTTATTATGGCGGTATAATGGGTAGGTACGGAACCCTCGGAGTGCGAGTTCGACTCGTACTTGACCGGTTTTTACTTAACGGCCACTGGTCTCAGCCTAGACACTTCCTTATAAAACATAATTGTATAAAAATGCAAAAATAACGAATATTTTTTTATAAATGAAACTAATTTTACGTCTGTCAAGTGTAATATCCCTCTGCAAGATCCAGGAGTGTACAAACTTGACTGTGAATGTGGGCTCTCTTACATAGGACAAACGAAAAGAGCAATAAAAACCCGCGTGAAAGAACATATAGCTGACATAAAACATAGTAGATTAAACAAGTCTGCAGTTTGTGAGCACACTCTAAATCATATCAGGTTTGATAGACCACAGATCCTTGCAAAAGAACACCGATTCCTCCCAAGGATGATTCGCGAGGCTATTGAAATTAAAAATCACCCTAATTTCAATAGAGAAGAGGGTTGGGTACTACCATCAGCTTGGAATCCTGTCATCAATAAAATTAAATCTAAGCCCAAACGAACCACTACTGCAAGACAAGATACAATTAGCTCCCTCTGCATAAATCGGACACAAAATACAAAAACTGACGGTAGCCCGGGTTAACTATGACAATCAGACGTCTAACACCTCAGTCTGTCCCGTGACCATGAACGCTGTAAAGGGTTCGAAACGTCGGGAATTAAAATTAAAAATAAACGCGATAAATCCGTAAAATTAGTTTCATTTATAATGTGTAATCGCGTAAATACAAGAAATATGAATATTTTTTTGTTTACTTTGTTTTTACCTGTTTTTATTATCAAGCCTTAAACAAAATATGATATGTAACGTGAAACCGTACAACTATAGATTATGAATTTTCATGACAGGAAACTAGTACCTATTGAGGGGCTCAAACCATATTTTCTGTAATAGCGGCTACGTCTTATGTTGTATATCATTATATAATAGTATTAATGTTATATATATATATATATATATATATATATATATATATATATATATATATATTCATGTATATCATAGTATTAATATTATAAATGAAATGTTAACAATACTAACTTTCACATAGGGGTTGAAGGTCTTGAGAACTTCTATGGATATTTCGCAGAAAACAACGTAATGTGGACACTGTTCAACGGCGAGGCGTTCGACTACATCGGCTCGCAGAGGGTCGCGTACGACCTTAAACGGGGCGCTTGGCCGCCCTCCGCGCCGCTGGCCGTCTCCGACCTGAACCTGCACGTGGAGGTCGGCCAGATAGGCGGCGCCTTGCAGCTGTACACGGAAAACGCCTCTTGGCCCCTTTACGCGTACGCAGCAGCCAACTACCCGCCGGTGAGGAGTGATGACGTCTCTCGTCTCTCCCGCTCAGCGGTTCCCAAACTTATTTCAGTTTGTCTTGCTGTATCATAAACTTCTGTCTAGATTTAACTCAATCACGGAAAACGCCTCTCGGCCTCTAAGCATACGCAGCAGTTAACTATCCGCCGGCGAGGAGTGGAAACGTCTCTCATCTGTCATCACTCGCGCTCAGCGGCTCCCAAACCTATTTCAATCTGTCTTGCCGTAACATAAACTTCTGTCTAGAGGTAACTCGCTCACGGAAATCGCCTCTTGGCCTTTTTACGCGTGCGCAGCAGCCAACTACCCGCCGGTGAGGAGTAAAGACGTCTCTTATCTCATAGGAGTAGAGTTATTTCACTCACAAAAAACTCCTCCAGGAACTGACGAATAGAAAACCCGCTTGGAAATAATGAAAAATGCCTCCATCCGAAGATGTTGCATACGATCGAGCAAATAATATCATTTTTTTTTAATTTCCTTTTAGACCACGGTGTTCCTGAACAACATGCTGAAGGCGGCCAGCGAGTTCAACATCACGCTGTCGCCGGAATTCAGCGCGGACCTACCGCCGTCTTCGCTGCATTCCTTCCGGCGAATACTGAGTAATGAGACCGAGAGCGGGGAGCTGCCGGAGGTGCTGCTGGTCGACCACAGGGGGCGGTTCGCCAACGCCTACTACGAGTCCGCGCTGGACGACAGTGACAACGTTGGATTTGTCTATCGCAACATCAGCGTTGGCCCGGACGGTGAATGTAAGTAAGCTTGTTTTCGTGTCTTCGCGATGTGTGATGGTCGACAGGCGTTAACACATCGGCAGGGGTGTCACCTACTAACGTACTAAGGTCCCGGCCAGCGATTAATAAAGTCAGCGGCCATGGGTGTCACGTCCTTGGTCCGTAGGTGACATCCCTCCCGATTAGATAACTCAGCATGTGCACATGCGCGCCCCTACCTAAAGCGGAGGGTCTGGCTGTCCCACGAGTTCTGTCACCTCTTGTGGACTGTGGTTTTAATCTTCTTTCTCTTAAACCCAATTAAAAGTACTCATTGTTTTTTCGTTGACCTGAAGGTAATGCCCGTTTTTACTCCTATTACTTGATGATGCCGATGGATGTACACTGGCACAAATATATATAGCGATTGAGCAGTAAATATAATTTAAATAATTACACAAGCTACAAGGTAAAAAAGTTTTTTTTAATTTATCGTTGAAATCAACCATTAAGCGGGTAGGTAGGTAGTGATTGTCTCACTAGTCAGTAATCACCGTTATCGCCAAATGCCCAACTACAAACACTTCTTAAAGGGGGGTTTCTGTGAAGCCGTAGTTCAACTTCTTCATTCTTTGACTCTCATGCTGTGACATGCTTGGTACATACCTCACTACGGTGAAACATCCTAATACATATTTCTTTCGCTCCAGTCACACCGACCAGCGATCTCATCAAGAACGGAACTATGAAGGACACAGACATCCAAGTGAAAATATCGCGACTAGCAACTGCCATAGCCAGAGCACTCTACCAGCAGGTTGCGGGGAAGGCTTATGACGGCGAGCTGGCAGCCTCTGCGCATTTAGTAAGCCATAAATGTATAACTAATATTTACACGTAAGAAATTTTAATTCCGTAGAAATAAATCAATCGGAAAAACACGCACGAAGTCACGAGTAAAGTATTTATCCTATTTTCTACATCATTTAGAAAACATCACAAAACAAGAGGGACCTGGCACCACGCTCATCCGTCCCCGATAAGAGATCCCGTGATAACCAAAATCCAGATGGTTAGATGGAGAGATAGTATTAAACAGGGACAATTAATATCCGAATCGAATACAGTAGAGAAAGCTTAGCATAGCGAAGTGGAAAAAAAATTTGGAGGCCTAACACGACCACTCATTGACTGAGATAAACGATTGGGAAGGAAAAGAGATTGCATCTTAGTTACATCACATAATTTTCTATTAACTTTTTGATTTACAAACGATTTTAGCAAGAATTTTTTTTTTATGAGTGAAAACGAGTAGGTGGCAGGATGCAGGTCAATAACGCCCGTGGGTTTGCCATCACATCTAGATCAGCGTAATTATCATTTCAGCCTCTTCAAGTACAATGCTGAAGATAGGTCTTCACCACATACTGTTAAAAGGTGCAATCCTGAGCCATCGACATGTAGCGATTTATCGCACATTTGCATATGTCGTCGCTTCACCTAATGGGGCCGTCGTCGTACCCTACGGTGGGGAACAAGAGACTGACACTTGATTTTTAGATACATCCAAGATAACATATTTTTTTAGTATTAAATAACCCGCTGTCATAAAAAATACCGTTGTAACTAAGAACTGTCTCGATTACGTCGGCTTTGAAACAAAAAAAAAACCGGCCAAGTGCGAGCCGCATGAAGGGTTCCGTACCATTATCTATAAAACGGCAAAAAACATCATGTCTGTTGTATATGCCCCACTTAAATATATTTTTTCTCTTTTTGTATTTTTTGTTATAGCGGCAACAGAAATGTATCATTTGTAAAAATTTCAACAGGCTAACTATAACGGTTCGTGAGATACAGCTTGTTGAGAGACAGTCCCGTTTTACCCTTTAGGAACGGAACTCTAAAAAAGCACCGTAATCGTTTCATTCGTTTCGATTCTAGGATGCCACAGACAGCGGTTTTGGCTATGTTCTTACGACCTGCCACCTGCCTGACGTCTACCCACCTTGGGAAAAAAACACCCAGATCCGGAAAAATTACCTGTCGGCCACACGTACTCGCATACCCGTCACGTGTGGGAATCGAACCCAAAACCGCCGACGCGGACGCCAATAAATAGCTCACCAACGGTGCCACCGACAGACGGGCACACACACAGACACGCAATTTTTTTTGCCGCCGACGTTAACGATGAGCGATTGCGCCCCCCAGGCGGACGAGATGCTGTACTGCTTCCTGGGCAGCCAGGCGTGCCGGCTGCTGCTGGCCGCGGACTACGCGGCGGGCAGCGAGGAGGCGCCGAGCGCGCGCGCGCCGCCGCTCTACGTGGGCGTGGCCGCGTGGCCCGGCACGCCCGCCGTCTTCGCGGGACACCTGCTCGCGCTGCTCGCCGGCGAGCGGCTGCCGCTCAACCGCACCGCCTGCGACGCGCTCGACCAGCCCGTGCGCATTGGTTTTTTTTTCTTTTATCTACAGAACCTTAAATAATGCGGAGGCGTCATAAAATAAAGTGGGTTGCCTCGTTTGCCTCGGTTGCCCGGTTGCCTCGCTAACCAGACGAAACGCGAACGTATAATAATTCAAATTCACGCCGGTCTCCTGTGAGGTCGCGGTACCGCCTGCCCATATACAACGTGCAACAGCCGAAACCTGTCTGCGTATTCACTTTAACTAATCTTCTTCTCATTGAAATAACTCCCGAAATGCCCGTGATCAATGTGAAATACTGCACAATGAACGCGTTGTGATCGAATGACATAAGAATTAAGATACCAACTTCACTATGTGTTGTTTCTGTGTTACAACAACGCATCATGAACATTGCTAAATCTAAATGTGCCATAATAATCTGATAAACATCATGATTCATTTAAATAACGACCTTAATTTTTAAAATGAGAAATTTTTGCAGAAGATAATTACGAAAAATTTTCGCCACTGCGGTATTCGAACCTATGTCTTCCGCACAACGAACGCGCCCATATGCTTTAACCAATTATGCTAAGCGACCAATGATCTCACGGCGCGTAAATCTCAACGTTTTAAGTTTTACCTTGAATTTATACCCCTGTTGACTAGCACTAAATATAACATTAAACATAAACTTATTTTTTTTTATTCAAGGGTCTCTCCCATTATTGGCTGAGGGGTTGGAATCACAGCGGTGTTTGTATTCAAACAACAATGAACTTTACTCAAGCACTTAGCCCCGCATTCCTCATCCCAGGTTTGTTACAGCTTTCATATCACATCTTTATATCAATACCTTTCTTGGCAAACAAGCTAACTCCATATGAGCAAGTTATTCAGGAGACACTTAAAACTGTATAATATTTTTTTTAGAGTTCTTATGAAAAAATGTAAAATATAGTTGGTAGATATTATCGTAAATTGTCATTTTTGATACTATAAAATCCATTATACATTTTCATTACCATACTACATCGTTTTTAGGAGTTATCCGTTTTTTCTTTCGTGCAAAAGTATGTGATCTAGGAGTTAGCTGGTTTTCTTGATAGATTAATTTTAAATAAAAACTTTCTTTTTCTTTTTAAATAACGTTTCTGTCTTGAAACATGTACATGGTTATGTATCTATAAAGTAAAGTATCAGCCTATACATTTCCCACTGCTGGGCCAAAGGCCTCTTCTGTACAGAGGCTATCAGGGCATAGTCCACCCGCGGCCCCACTGCAGATTGGCGGACTTCACATATCTTCGAAATATTTTTTTGTTTTTACTTGGAAAATATGCAGGTTTCCTCACGTGTTTTCCTTCCCCGCGGAGCACGTGATAAGTCAGCACTTAAAGTTAAAAACTTCATTGGTGCCGGCACCGGGGATCGAAGTCAGGTTGCTCGAGTATATTTTATTAAACGCGAGCGCCCGGATATTGAGCTATCACGGCTCCGACGATGTATCTGTTGTCATCTCCTATTGTTAGAATTACTTTATCAATTAAGAAATTGGTTCAAATCGTTGCAAACTAATCAAAACTCAGCCCACCTTTGCCTTCATTCCATAGAAAGCAACACCCATCTCTAGTTTTCTTGTCATAAATACACAAGTTGTGAATGGTGGTATATAAAAGTGTTAAGTTTTTTAGATTTTAGAGGGTCTTTCAAATTCAAATCCGACACAGAGTCCGTAGGTGTCAAATTATTATTATTACTTGACGTACATTTTTTTTTTGGACAACAGGGTAACTAGTACCCAAACAGAAGATATCGATATATCGAGGCCGATACTGATGTTTTTATAAATATCGACATGTTTCTTCACTTTCGGCGTCCCTACGGCGAATGACTGCATTGCCATTGCCACCGAACGTTCCAGACTACGACATGGCGTCGGGCGTGTACTCCACGTGGACGGAGTCCGTGTGGGCGGCGATGTGGGCGCGCGTGTTCGTGTCGGCGGGGGGCGCGGGGGCGCGGGCGGCCGCGCTCGCCGGCGCCGGCAGCACCGCGCTCGCCGCCGCGCTCACCTACTGGCTGCGAAGGCACGCCGCCGCCGTCTTCATGCACGGAGACCACGGCAGCGCGGTGCGCGGCGACGCGTCGGGGTGGGTGATACGGTCCCCGTGACGGCCGTGACCTTGGCCTACGGTCAAGGTCACGGTCGTCGCCACGCCACTCGATGACTACAAAAATGACTATTAATATCTCTCGATACATTTTTACATGGTATCGGTCACGAGTTAAGCTAAATCTGTATAGTTAGTAACTTGTATGCATACTAGGTATATGCGGGATAGATATTCTTAAGAATGATTGACCTTTGTAAACAAATACATATTTGTACATGTACAAACAGTCAGAAAGTGAAATAATATATTCATCGCACCATGTTTTTGCCGTACTGGTCTTGAACCCACATCTCTGGAATAAGGACAGTTTCATTAACACCCGCGATAATCGGGTTGTCAATAAAATGTAACCGACCAAACCGACCTCGACTCGACTGGCGCTTAATTTCGCTTTATGGCATTATCTTAATTTTATGATTAAAATGTTTTTAATTTATTTCAGAATACTAAGAACCGTCAACTGTTGAAGGGTGTTAAGAAGAAATTTATTGTTAAGCGCATACTAATTTATGTTGTAAATAATGATAGTTTTTTATTCGCCCATGAAGAAGTAGGAATGTCTTATTTATTTGATTTATTGTTAGTCAGAAGTAATACATGAGTGCAATAAAAGCATTAGCATGCTTTATGTACAACTGTAAATGGCGACAATTACACAATTTGTAATGAAAACATTATTTAAAAAAAATATTATCCTAAGTCGAAATTCCGAAATACCTTAAAATCATTTACAGAAGCAAATAAAACTTATACAATATTAAGAAACGTATTTTTTTTTGTTATTTCATTTTTATTGTTAATACCTATTCATTTGTTACACATTTTTTGAAATGAGAACATCTTTAGCATGTCATTGTTGACCCTCGATGAAACGAAGAAAACGACAGTAAACAGAGACGCGTACATCTGCCATATATATATGCGAGAGATTGAGATAGAAGACATAATACAGTATTTCTAATATTATAAATTAATAAATATAATTAAAATAAACACAAACGTGTCTACTTGTGACGAGTATTTAAATAAACAGTTATCGATTGCATTTAACGTCTTTGCGCTAAGAAGTATAACTTCTTATGTACGTACATAAGTACACACGTACATTTTGTTTTAATAACAAGTAAAGCGCAATTTCAACATAAATAAAATAAATATTTTTGTTTTACACAACGTTCGTCCCAAACTAAGCAACGCTTGTACTATGGGTACTAGAAAACTAATAGACATACTTAAACATACTTTTCTTTTGTAAATAAGTACACATTATATATATATATATATATATATATATATATATATATAAACACCCAGACGCTAGAAAAACACTATGCTTATCACACAATATTTTTTCCAGTAGTGGGGATCGAACCCACACCCTCTGTCGCAGAAGGCAGGTACACTACCCATTATGTCATTCGGGTCGTCAAACAAAATCAAAACATCAACGTCAAAAACATCTTAAATAAGGATCAATTGGGTCATCGGTACCTAACCCAATCCATAAAGAATTTTATACCTTTATACAACACCCGCGTTCCGGGGCGGTTCTCACCGCCCCCCGCCACCGATTAGCTAATTGCACAGTCGACGGCCATCGGGGTTTCGGTCCGAACCGCGACCTCGATGGCCCGTAGATGACACACCATAATTAAACGCACGCATGAGCACATGCGTGGCCCTACCCACAGCGGAGGGCCCAAACCTGTGGGTTCTGGCTAGCTACCGGTTCTGCGTCAGATGAAGCTTTAATAGTCTCGGGACTGAAAGCAAAAACATCAGTTAATACAAGATACAAGATACAAGACCTTTATACAATGTATATATATGCATTGCATAATATCCTTTATGGATTGGGTTCAAATCCTAAGATTTAGTTGTTATGAATTTTTAATGGAGAAAAGAGACAAACGAGAACCAAACATGTTGATTTTCTTTTTAGAAGTTTTTTTTTAACTGTTACAAATTTTTGTGGACTTTCTTATTTTTATAAATTATTATTAGGAATTTTTTTATGTTATTAATACCGCCGCCCACGGACAGCGATGCGTTGACCACATTTTAAAAAGTGTGCCCAGACGAAACACTAAAATATAATAACTTCACTTTACGTCGGTCTTCTGTCAGGTCGTGGTATTTCAACGATTTTTTTTTAATTATACTTAATAGCTTTAGTCTATTAGGCGGGATATGTGTGAAACAGACACTCGCATATGTCATAATGTACGAATACAAGTTTTAAATAAATGTATTTTATGTTTTAACCACATTTTACTTGTCACTCTAGTGCGGGGAGTTAGGCAAAAACTTCATAAATTCAGCCTCATTGGCTACTGCACGTATGTGTTCTTTGATGGTGAGGCGGCAGTCTATAGTGACACCGAGGTACTGGCCTTACTTTCCCATGGAATGGGTTGGCCGTATAATTTAACAGGAGTAAGGTCTTTGACTGATTGGCAATTAAACATGATCGCTTTACTTTTCTCCGGGTTTACCTCGATCCGCCACCTTATTAACCATTTGTTGAAAGCGTTTAGTGCAGATTGCAAGCGGTCCGGTTCTCGTTGTGGTCGGATGCGAATAATACTGAGTCGGCGTATAAAGCCAAATTGACCTTATGGTTCCTGGAGATGCCACTTGTATATAGCGACTATAGGGTTGGGCTCCTTGTGTATTGCCCGCTCTGAGAGGGCGGGGTGGGAGAGAGTTCCATCGATTCAGAATTGTAGGCGGTGTATACAAGTAGTCTCGTATAATTTTAACGAGTTATACAAGACTATCCCAAGCGTTCATGGCGTCGAATAAGAGAATTCCTAACCTATTATTATTTTTCATGTAGGACGAATTGCGACTTGCAAGGATGTGCTCCGTGAGGCGGTGCACTTGTAGAACACTTGCGTGTCCGGCTCTAGATAAATATGCTGAGATTTTGTTAGTGTGAAGATGCCTTTAACTCAGTGCCAGGTGCGTGTCCTGAAAGAGGTAGGTTCAAATTCTCGCAGCTGCGATAGCTTATAATCCTATTTTCTACATATTTTAATTTCAAAGAATATAGTCATAGTAGGAAAATATTACCTACAAAATGTGTCTACAAAAAATTTCTTCAATAACGGTCTATTGAAAAATATGAATCGGTACCCAATCAACCAACTACTGGGCAAACTTCTACTTGATAATATACGTAAATTGATATAGCGTAAGGGCCCTGAGAACCAAACACTCGTAACTTTGTTGTCCGTCTTGCACGTCACGTGTTTTACCGTGCCGACAACAGGCTACACCCTCACACCTACAAGTTTCTGTCACCTTGTATGCGCGATCGCCTTAGAGAGGGGCGAGAGATTTTGCTGATGCCTATCCCATCTGAGCCTAGTGGGTGCGATGATAGGATCGCGGGCAGTGCCGGATTAAGCAAGGGCGGGGCCTGTAGCAAATTCTTTTAAAGAGCCGTTGGTCTGCTATGGGTTCTTAAGTATAAAGTGGTAAAAAACAATTCAATACTCTTACTTACTTAATGAGTTTCACTCAAAAAATAACGCTCACACAGAAATGAGTGGGATTAAATATGCCGGATCCCTTTCGCGGGGCCCGTAGCAATTGCTATTCTTGCTATGTGGTTAATCCGGTACTGGAGGCGGGATCGACGTTGAATATTATATACAGCGTGTCGTTACCATCGCGACAATAAATGAACACACATATAGGGGATAACTTTTTAAAGTTGTATTAAACATTTAAATTCTTTAAACATCAATATTAAATTTTCCAAAACAAAGAATTTTAGAACATCCTTACCTATAAAAGCGTAACGTAAAGTTCATTTATAAAGGTCACAAAGCATTCAACCCATTCATATGGGTTGAATGAATTTAAAAGAGACAAAACATACTGTTAGAAGGAGAGGCTTGTAATGCGACGCTATAGCGCGAGTTGTATAGGTGTTACAAATTTTGTTTCTTTTTTACTTAATTAGTTTGTTTGAAAAATATTTTTTTTTAATTATGGATTTTGTTTAACGTTAATATTTTTTTATGATTATTGGCAAGTAGCGTTAGACGTGTGTTCATTTATTGTCGCGATGGTAACGACACGCTGTATACTCAATACATAGCCGTTCTCGCCCATCTATTCTTATATATAGGTTCCACTGAAAATCAGCTTTCATGAAGTTATTAAACTTCGTGACTTTAACGCTGAGTGGAAACCTTTTTGGTGCACCAATAAGCATAAAATATTTTTTTTTCTCTTTCTAACTAAATTTCTGTGTTCATGTCTTTTATGTATTTTTTATTTTCTTTTTGTTTATGTACCAAATAAATATTTTTCTTTCTTTCTTTCTTTCTTTCTAAATTTGGCATCGATGGCTGACGCAATTGATATAAGTACGATTAACGTCGACAGATGTGTTTTTCTCATCTATAGATAGATGTTATGCATAAATGTCGGCAAAGTCACAAAAACACTCAAGGCGCTTTTGTTTATCATTTAAGATGAATAACATACTGTCCGAGCCGATACAAATCACATAACGCCAGGACATGGTGCGCCTTTCGAAATAATGCTAGGGTGACGGGTCGCGGGTCCGAGATCTAGGGCAGTGTAAAAGACTGCGGTGTATGCGTAGATCAGTACAAATATACAATAAAACTAGTGCAAGGCGTGTAAAATGCACTTGACTATTAGTACTACACCGCACAAAGAAACTTTTATGCATAACAATAGCAGCTTTTAATGTTTTCTATGAAGCAACATTTTTTTTATATATAATTTTAAATTTATTAATACAAAAGTTACATTATTACTTTTTTAAACAAAAATGACATTGAATCGATTTTAAAATCGAATTTAAGTTCCATGCTACATCAATATTCGCATTCTCTCGCTGTAATTTAAAGAATTGAAGTAAGGAACAAATTGTTCCGAATCCGAATAATGACTTCGTTGATTATAAAAGCACTGGCTTCATGTCGTAAAACCAGCTTGTTAGCAACCAGTCGAACGTTGATAACAGATAAATACGTTCCAATTAATAACTCTCATACTTTGCATTTTACAACCTTTAATCAAGCTCCAAAGATAATGGCTAATAAAATATTACCTCAAATTTTTACGTTCGTGGACAAGAATGTTGATTCTTATAAACAACTTCTTAAAGAAGCTGTAGCTATTCCTTCGGTGTCTTGTGATATTAAATACCGGGAAGATTGTGTTCGTATGGTTCACTGGATGCAGAATAAATTAAAAGAAGTTGGAGCAAGTACAGAACTTCGAGATGTAGGTTTTCAAACAATTGATGGCAAAGAAGTAAAATTACCTCCAGTATTAATTGGATCCCTGGGAAATGTAAGTAAATTTCTTTTAATTAAGCATATTGTTTTTACTCTATTGCACGAATAGCAATTACATTACTTCACTAATCACAGATTTTAGCCAATTATATTAAGTTATTATATAAATTAGTTCAATTCTTTATTAAGTATTGTTCTTTTTTAAAGTTAAAATAAAAATACAACAGATATTATTAACAATGTACAGGGATTTTGAAGTACTCTCTGCCTGTTTATTTGACTTTGTACCATTTTAAATTCTTTGTTTTGATACTACTCTTGTAAAAATAATATTGAAACAATGTGTGTAGGATGCCAAAAAGAATACTATTTGTATCTATGGCCACTTAGATGTTCAGCCAGCTCTAAAATCTGATGGTTGGGATTCTGAACCATTTGAGCTTCAAGAACGTGATGGCAAGTTATTTGGCCGAGGTTCTACTGATGACAAGGCACCAGTTCTTGGATGGCTTCATGCCATTAATGCTTACAAAGGTATTGGTGAAGAGGTAAGTTTCATATTTTTTGGCAAGTCTGTTTTATATATGTTTAATAATTTTTATATGTTGTATGTTACAATTTATATGCTTATTAAGTAAAATTTAAAAAATATAATAATTTTTGTCTTATATTTGGTGAACTTTATTAAAACTATGGGCAAATGTATATTTTAAGCAATATTTTAATTTTTAGCTGCCTGTAAATCTAAAATTTGTTTTTGAATGTATGGAAGAATCTGGTTCTGAAGGTCTAGATGCATTGCTTATGGAGCAGTTAAAACCAGAAGGGTTTTTTGATGATGTTGATTATGTATGTATTTCGGACAATTATTGGCTGGGCACCACAAAACCTTGCATAACATATGGCCTAAGAGGCATTAGCTACTATTTCTTAGAAGTAGAGTGTGCCAAGAATGATCTTCACAGTGGAGTTTATGGAGGAACTGTACATGAAGGTAAGTAATGATACTTCTTCAAATTAATGGAATGAGTAAGACATACCATTATATAGAAAAGTGATCTGCAGATTTATAGATGGGTCATTTCAATGAGGACAGTACCCTAAAAAGCAACTCAAACTGCTGCTGAAGGTGTGCCTTGGTAGTGGTCTTCATTACCACCACATACCATTTGCTCATTTGCTAACTTAAGGCTTGGTTTGAAGAACGTTATTCATTGCTGAGTCTTCAGCCTTTTCACCAGATGTCAACATATTTTAAAATATAATTTTCACAGCATATTACTTATTGTATAGATATTTTTTATTTGATGTTAACCTTGGGTTAACAAATGTCATATTATTATAAATACATCATCTTATTAAAGAAAAAGCAATTATATTATACAAATATATATTAGAAAATTATACAAATTACCTGTATATTAATTATTTTTTCTTTTCAGCAATGACTGATCTTATTTACCTTATGGATCAATTGGTTGACAAAGATGGTAAAATTCTGATAACTGATATATACAAGTCGGTAGCACCAATGACAGAGAATGAAAAAAAGCTTTACTCTAGTATTGATTTTGACCCTGAGGCTTATAGGTAATATATAATATTATCTCAAAGTTATTGTGTTTAATGTAATAAATATTTTAGGGAATTATTAATTTAAGGAAATACAACTGATAGCAGCATGATTTACCTATGCATGTAGACATTTTTTTTTACTTCATTTTAACTTTTAGGTCTATAGTTACAGATCATGTTACACTCACTAAGTCTATTAAAGTTTGGCTAGAGATCCACAACTCTTTTGATGATGTGGTTGTTAATGCACATGAGCTGAACCACCTATTATGCGCTTATTTGCCACCTACTTGCATACACAACCAAATGCACATTGATGCTGTTTCTGTAATAGTTTTCACTATCAATGTTATCAGCACCAAATGACATAATTAAACATTTAATCCTGCTACTGGATATAACAGTGGTTGTTGTGGTTGCATTATTAAAATTTTGCATAGTAAATGCATGCCTAATACAACTCATTACTAAATATTATTCATGCAGATAAAGGCATTGCTAACATTACATGAAATATGCCATTATCATATTTTATCTCAATATAACATTGTTTGCAAGGGTGTAAAGTCTGCTTGTAATGGACAACTATTTATCAGTTTTTAACAGATGTCATATTGTATTTTGTTTTCATATTTAGTTTCTATGTTGTTGTTTTAGGTTACTCTTACTAATTTATGATTTCGATTGTCTTTACAAACTGATGTGCAATATTTATTGTCTACTATTGGAAATTGATTAGACTCTATTGCTACTGCTCCACTTATCAGGGTTAAGGTGTGAAGTACATTTATGTAAGAACAGGCACTCTAATCCTAAAATAATTTTTCAAATAGAAAGTAGATGTACATGTGTTTATACAAGGAGCTCAAATTTTTAGGGTTCCACTCCTCAATCAGTAAAAAATTTTCGGAATCAGAATCACTGTGTTATTTACCTTTGTTTAAAACAGTTGAACTAGAATCGGAATAATAAAACGAGTAAAAACTCACGTAGAGTCGGTGTATGTACCAACTAGTTTCGGACCTATCGGAGGTTCATTCTCAGGGTGAGTGGGTTGAGTTCGGACAGGGGGCGACCGCGAGTTTAGCCGTTATATTATTCCGTTAATAAAGTCTCACGAAAGTTTTAATAATTTTATATGATCTGATATCATTAAATTTGGCGTGAAGCATGGTTTTACAGTACAAAAAATATAATTAAATGTGTGCCGAGTCCTCTGAGCGAGATCGACCTTGCCAAGTTTTCTACCTTTTATTTCAAATAACAATTGAAAGCGAGTAATTAATAGGTAAAGGTCACTGTGTTAAATACAAACATTTATTGTCCATAGGCGTACAATAAATGCATTCAAATTACCACATAATGGAGACAAAGAGCAGATACTGATGCACCGTTGGAGATACCCAAGCCTTTCTTTGCACGGAATAGAAGGTAATTTATTAATTTGGAATCTTATTTTTTTAACGACCTTCTTAGTAGTGGATCAATGGAAAATGTTAATTAAGGTAATTAAATGCAAATATCGTTAATTTTTCTGTTATATAAATATTTTAATATTTCTGTAAACTGTAACAATCCTGTACTTGAAAATATGTTTTCAGTAATTACAATCAGAGTGTCAATTATTAATAATTAGCGACCCGCTCCGGCTTCGCACAAAAAACACCCATGCTGGTGCAATGTATAATACATATAAACTTTCCTCTTGAATCACTCTATCTAGTAAAAAAAAAAACCGCATGAAGATCCGTCGTGTAGTTTTAAAGATTTAAGCATACATATGGACAGACATACAGCGGGATGACTTTGTTTTATACTATGTAGCGATATTACATAATTTTTTTTCTTTTCTTTAGGATAACATTATCCTGTGTTGTAAGGACGTTTTACATACATAAATTTCACGCGGACAAACACCCAGATTCGGAATAATTATCTCTGTGGGTCACACAAATAGTTGTCCCGTGTGGGAGTCGAACTCACGATCCTCGATGCCGATGCCAATACCTTGGCAACTACGCCACTGAGTCATCAATATTTTGTATTGGAGTCATATAAAATTTTACTCCCTTTTATTGTATGTTAATAAACATGTCTAAATAAATAATTGGTGGGTCCATTTGTGAATAAATAACGCAGTTTTGTAATGTCTTAGTATCGTGTTGCTCAATCCTAACACAATGTTCGATGCTTCTTGTAATGTTTCGATAGGCGCTGCCTTCCAACCGGGGGCGAAGACCGTCATCCCGGGTAAGGTGATCGGAAAATTTTCCATCCGAATCGTCCCCAACCAAGAGCCCGAAGAAGTAGAGAAACTAGTCTTCGATTACATCAACAAAAAGGTGATATTCTTTTTTTTATGATACATTTATTATGTTATTATACATTTATTATATTCTTCTTTTTCTATGACATGATCGATGATAGAGGTCTGCCGTTGTGTGCGCATATGATTTTAATTGATTCTCCTAAGTTTTATTAATTGGAAACATGGCGCTTATCTAAAAATTTAAGATATTATTTAATGTAAAGTTTAAACTTTTAAGTAACTAAGCTGGCTATCAGCTAGTAATTTAAATAATTTGTCTGGATCTATTTACTAACACCGTCATAAATCGATGAGAGTCCAATGTATTAGCAAAGTTAAACATTTCATAAAACTGATCAAAAAAATGTGCTGCATATAACACGTAGTTCGCAAGCAGCAGCAAGAATAATTATCTTTTTACCGTCTTAATATTCAATCAATTTTACTCCTCGTTGATAAAATACTATATTAGTGCCTCATTTGCTTTTATCGATGCTTTTGCATGCAGTTATAAAGTATACGGTTACTAATTGTTTAAGTTATTGCTAGGATTGCCTTGATCTATCTTATTTGTGTCAACCTTGCTTTGTGTTGGAGTGTTTACTTAAACGCAGATCACTTCACTTAAGTATTCAAATAATCACAAAATTTCAATTTTAATGTTCAAATAATTATCGTTTACACAAGGCAGATAAGATAGAAGAAAAGAATTTTACTTAGATTAACATAATTATACCGACTTATTATGTGTTAAAACGAATACTTATTTATTGAAATTTGGTATTTTATTATATTTATTGATACAAAATATGTTCATTATTATTTTTAAAAAATATAAATTTTATTTCCCCTTCGTTTTTGTAGTGAATACAGGATCGATCACTTACAAAATGTGCCCCTATATTTTGCTTCTCTGAAGATTCTCTTATTAAGATTGATTAATCTTATTTTTATTAGAACCCACGAAGAAACTACTAGTAAAATTATTTCCTTAAAAAGTGCCCCTATCCTTTTAAGGTTAATAAGCATTTCTGATTAAGCATCATGATTTTGATCACGTAGCTGGCAATTATCTTGTGATTTTTACCTCTTGCCGTCCGTGGACAAGACTATAATAAAAATTATTTTATGATATCAATCTTCGGTTACCGCGTCATTTATTGCATCGTATAGAATTATCACGCGCAATTGAAAACTGTGATCGAGGTCAATTGTACGAGAGCACATTGTTCGTTATGTCTGCTAGTTTAGTGAAATGATTTCCCTTTTAAGTTTTAAATCAACCTTGTCTGAAAATATCTGATTCATCGTTGAGACTTAAAGGTGGTAGGGCCACGCAGCAGCCTCGGCTGTTGCAGGAATGGGCAGGCCCGTCCGGGTAAGTACCACGACCTCACAGAAGACCAGCGTAAAGTAGAAGTATGACAAATACTTTCGCGTTTCGTCTGGTGAGTGAGGTAGCCGGAGCCCAATTTTCAAAAGGTTGTCAACGCATGTTTAACTTTCGGATGTAGCAGATGTCCATGGGCGGCGGGTCACCTGATGTTAAGTGAATACATCAGGTGACCCGTCTGCTCGTTTGGCAACTTTTCTCATAAAAAAAAAGAGCCGAAAGAGACCCGTTTCTTAAAACACTAACTTAAATGTTATATCTGTCGATGTCTTTTGACGTATTGAATTTAGGATAAATTAGATTATTGCGAAGTAAATTTCCTTCCTTTTTAACAACATCTGCCTACCTAAGGTGCATTAGAACATCTTACTTGTATTAAAGTTACATTCGATTTTAAATTTAAGCTTCGTTAGTTTGCTATTGCAAAGTGAATTTTATCTATTAATGATCGATATTAATGATCTGAAGTTACTAAATTATTATTTTTTCGAGAACGTTAGCCTTTAATTTTCTAATAAGTCGTCTGGGCAGCGCGTTGGCCCGTTATCGTAACCGGTAAAGGTTACAGTGCTGCCTAATTTGTGTATAAAGTGCACTTTTTCGCTATCACATGTCTGAATTTAATGATATGAACTTACTAAATTATTATTTTTTCGAGAACGTTAGCCTTTAATTTTCTAAAAAGTAGTCTGGGCAGCGCGTTGGCCCGTTATCGTAACCGGTAAAGGTTACAGTGCTGCCTAATTTGTGTATAAAGTGCACTTTTTCGCTATCACATGTCTGAATTTAATGATATGAACTTACTAAATTATTATTTTTTCGAGAACGTTAGCCTTTAATTTTCTAATAAGTCGTCTGGGCAGCGCGTTGGCCCGTCATCGTAACCGGTAAAGGTTACAGTGCTGCCTAATTTGTGTATAAAGTGCACTTTTTCGCTATCACATGTCTGAATTTAATGATATGAACTTACTAAATTATTATTTTTTCGAGAACGTTAGCCTTTAATTTTCTAATAAGCCGTCTGGGCAGCGCGTTGGCTCGTTATTGTAACCGGTTAAAGTGCTGCATAATTTGTGTCTCAAGTGCACCTTCGCTATCGCTATCACATGTTTGAATTTGTATGAAACTCGCGCAGTGGGCGGAGCGCGGCTCGCCCAACAAGATGCGCATATCAGCTCAGAGCGGCCGCGCGTGGACCGAGAACCCTGACCATCCCCACTACCAGGCAGCGGCGAGGGCCACCAAGCTCATCTACCAGGTAAAGTGGACTGACAGCCTTCACATTGACCCATCGCTATTGTACGTGTCACTGGTGGTATTTGGTCATTTATCAGATCCAAGTTAGTAAAGGGTGGGAGGTAGGGGGGGTTGTTATGATTTGAATTTACGAGGGAAATTTCATCGAAAAAGGCAATTCACTATATATGGTTATATCTCCATATACGAAGAGCAATATAGTGAAAATTTATGATCGAAATAACTTTGGGAATCTTTCGTGTCTCTTTGTTAAGAACAGCATAGTCAATGTTTAAAATATGATAAGTTTAAAAATAAATACGACCTGAATTGTGGTTTATATTATGACATGTGATTTTCGTTTCTACAATTATGTTAATACCACGTAAATATCAAACGTTATATACTGTGTTGTATAAAACGGAGATAACATGATTAGTACCTCATTAGTACATCTTACCATGATAAAGGTTAGAGATAAAAATCATGCGTTTTGTGATTTCCTAATGAACTACGATTGCTGTGGGATTGTTACTTTTTATTTTGAGACCATTCACAGTGCATATATTATGAACGACATTATATCTTTCTTACAACATATTATATCTTTTAGTTAAATGTCCTTTGAAACTGTGAAGATACTGCAGACAATGAACAATTTGTCCGTAAAGGATTGTTATACATACTTTGTAAAACTATTAAGTTTAAGAAAAGGAAATATGTTTGTTTTTTGAATACAATTTCAAAACTGCAATAAGTATGATTACAACTGTTTAGTTTAAATTGAACACCTGTAAAAATATTTAAAAGCCTGTAAAACTATTTGTATCATTCAAAACCTTCAAAGCTGTAATAAATATTAACCGTGGTGAAAAGCGTGGCTTACAAATAAGTCATCAATCGTGTGGCGTTCGCAGAGGCTTTCCCGTTAGTCCGCTCACCGCTGAGGGTGAAAACCTCGCGTAACTTCCTCTCCCTCTTTCTTTCTATCTCTCTCTAATCGCATAGGTACAAAACCTATTCCGCGAACCGTGAAAGCGTACTTCGCAAATAAATCACCAATCGTGTGGCGACCGTAGACGTTTGCCCGTGTGTCCACAGTGGGTCAAAAACTAGCATAACTTTATCTCTTTCTTTCTATCTCTCTCTCTTTCTTTCTTTCTATATCTCTCTCTCATTCTTTCTATCTCTCTCTCTCTACGATCTCTCGACTACGTCACGATCTCTCCTCCTATCTCTGTCTTACCACCAATCGTGGCGTGTTCCGCAGACCGACCCGGACATGTCGCGCGAGGGCGGCTCCATCCCGGTCACGATCACGCTCCAGGAGGCGAGCGGGCGCAACGTGCTCCTGCTGCCGATGGGCGCCGGCGACGACATGGCCCACTCGCAGAACGAGAAGATCAACGTGCGAAACTACATCGAGGGCGTACGTGCTCACGTTCCAAGTTACCCTTCTTTTGGCCCCTGTGGGAAATGAAGAGAGTGTAGTTTTTACGACAAACGACACCAATTTCACGGTGTTACCATGGCGATCAGCTGATTAGTTGACATCTGCGATGATCAGTGTTTGAGAAACCGGTCGAAAGTGTTTGAGGCTGACGTATCGATCCACATTTCATGTCATGTTTGTTAAGCAATTGATTCGATGGTTACTTACGTATATTGTGAAGTGTTTGTGAAATGAACGATATGATTTGATATGAGCAATTTCCTTTCAGATCAAACTGTTCTCCGCCTATCTGTACGAAGTCGGCAAACTCGCAAAGTAGAAAATTACACTACAAGAGGAGTATTACTATAACAACTAATATTGGAAATTTATACACATAAAAATATTATACATTTAGTTCTATAATCGCTCTGTCAATGTTTTCTTTAAAAAATTAATCAAGATAAAAAATGTGACGTAAACAGATTAAATATAAATTATCTGAACATTCCTGTAAGTACAACAGTAGTCAAGCATAATACTATCATTGCATAATATTTTGTATGGTGCTTTAGACATAAAAATAGTACATACTTTGCTATGCGATAGCAATAATGAGTTTTTAAAGACATATTCTGTAATTACGACATAATTGTAAGTGTTGTTTGTATAAGTTTCTTTTGATATGAATTTTTGTAACTCAGCAATAAAATGTAGTTATAACGTGACTGTATCATGTGTTTGTTTTTGTAATATAAATACCAAAATTATCGTTATTGCGTTATCAGTATACATATAATTATGTATATGAAACTTGTATGAAGGTTCGCCATTTTCGGATAAAATAAATCATAGGCAATTTGTACCGATTTGGGTGCAAGTTTCACTAATGCATTGTTAGTAGTTAATGTTTCAGTAAGCTTCACTTAACAGTTTGTAGTTATTAGTTTATTTGAATCAGTTATATCTACGTTTAAATATAAAAGTTATATCTACTTAAAAAAACACATTGAAGGTTTGTGTGATAAAATGTTATACAGGGAGATTTTTTGAGAAGTGCCCAAATTTACACAGGCGGTTCAGACTCGGTAATGTAATCGTTTATTGAAATAAAAAGAAAGTTTTTTTTCCCAAAAAAAGTGCCAGTCATTCATAAATACCTAAATTTTTGTGTGCACGAACTTGTGTGCGCGTTAGTTATGAATGATCGCGCGTAAAATAAATGAGTTGCGTATAAATCACGCACGATGTTTTCCTTCACCACCGAGCACGTGATAAGACAGCACTTAAAATTAACAATTGGTGCTGGCTCCGGGGATCGAACTCAGGTTTCTCGAGTACATTGAATGAAAGGCGAGCGCCCGGACACTGAGCATTCACGGTTTTGTGTCCCAAATTATGATGTAAGTATACAATTTTTTTGTATTGTTAAAATGACCTTGAACCCAAGTCTGCTAAACAGGAAACGATTCAAGAACCAGGGATAGCGGCGGCTCGATACGGACCTAGTAGTGATGAGACGGAGAAAAGTTAGAGGATATCTATACTTAATATTATAATACTGAAGAGTTTGTTTGTTTGAACTCCCTAATCTCAGGAACTACTGGTCCGATTTGACAATTCTTGCACTGTTAGATAGCCCATTCATTGAGGAAGGCTATAGGCTAATTTTTTAGAACGATATAACATGTAGTAGATGCGGGCGGAGCCGCGGGGAAAAGCTAGTCTAGAATAAGCACGCGTAGCGGCGAAAACTTTTGTACAGTTTATCTATTAGACTCAAATACCAGATTATAATTCTAAGCTATAGTTGCACGAGTTATCACTACGCTTTCATCTGGTGCTTGGCACCCCGTGCAGACCCTTCGCGCCGCCACTGACTTTCCGGATATACGAGTATAGCATATACCGCCAAGGCCATAACAAATGGGCAGGCTTGTACACAAAAATACCACGGTCTAACAGATTACTTGAAATTGTTGTAGCTCCTCAGGTCAAATCACACATCAGGTGGACCGCGTGCTCGTTTGACAACTTTTCTAATGATTTCAAACTTGCAAAGTTCTTCTGTTTATTTATTCAAAAAGTACGCCACTATATTTCCTCCTTTGAGCAGAATGTAACAATGAGAAGGCAAGCGCTGGTGGTCGTTGCTGAACCTCGCCTCTGATAAAATTTTAGCGATCTAGGCGCGTTACCCGGTAGGCGCAAGTTCGAATTCTCATTCTTAAATTCACATTTTAAGTTTCATCTTGAGTGCAGTGAGTTAGTGAAAGACTTGAGATAGTGAAAGATTGGCTTAGATTGCTTTGATGATTTGCTTAATAAAAACTATAAATGATAAGTTTGTCAGTTATTACTAAAGTCGTTCCGTGTATAATGTATAGAGAGATATAGTTGAGAGTAGTTATTTAGAGAAATATTAAAAAAACATTTATATATTACAATAATTGAAAAAATATGGTAAATTATTTACTATTTTTGGCACCACATTATAACAGAGAAGAGATACCTATCTATAAAGAAATCTTTTTTAATGGAAAAAGATATAAAAATATAAATCGCCCCAACCATTATATCAGGTTTGATAGACCACAGACCCTTGCAAAAGAACACCAATTCCATCCAAGGTGATTCGCGAGGCTATTGAAATTAAAAAACACCCAAATTTCAATAGAGAATAAGGTTGGGTGCTACCATCAGCTTGGGATCCTCTTATGAATAAAATTAAAACAAGACCCAAACAAACCACTACTGCAAGATAAGATAAAATTAGTATGTTCTGCGTAGATCGACACAAAAATTAGTAATTTAAAAACTGGCGGTAGCCCGGATTAACAATGACACTCAGACGTCCAACGCCTCAGTCTATCCCGTGACCATGAACGCTGTATAGGGTTCAAAACATCGGGAATTAAAACAAAAAATAAACGCGATAAATTCGTAATCATAGTTTCATTTAGTGATGTGTAATCGCGTAAATACAAGAAAATATGAATATTTTCATTTCTTCATCTTTAAATCCGTTAGCAAATTTGAACAAAAATACAATATATTATGGTAAAAAACAAAGTGAAAGCGCCTATAGTATTTAAATATATGCGCCTATAGTATTATGCTGCTACAAGTAAAGCGTATTTATTAATCTAACTTATTAATCTATACATGTTAATCGAATGTCTAATATCAAGTTTACCATATATTAAAGATTTTTAAATCAAAGTGGGTTACCGGCTGTCTGCAAATATCAGATAGATCTTGAGCGAAGTGGAACACAGACGTTCACTCATAGAAAGTTATGTATTGAGCTAAAGTGAGGTTATTAATATCTGATCATTACCTGTTAAAGTTTAACGGTACATAACGTACATTCTGTATGATGATGATATAGTGCACCTTTCAATTATGCTACATACAAAGAGTAATAATTTTAATCAGTTGATAATAAGTTTCCTAAGTGATTCACGGCATATGTGCGTTGCACGTACAAGTTTTCTCGCTTGCTCTCCTGGGCTTTGGTCTGTGTACCCGTGACGTAGACGACGAATGAAAAGTTGCGTGACCAGTGCATATCCTCATAGTCAGGTTCCAGCTTCTTGTAAGTCAACATATATACCTATTTCAATCAGAAGTGGTTATTGTTTTAACCTTCTTAGCTTGTTGCACTAGTAGTCTCCTTGGTAATGTGCCTAGCGCAGAAAGTGCAGGTGTTTAGTGTTTATTTTTCAGAAACTCGTCCCAGCCATAAGGAGATTTGAATTTATTTCGTTTCGTTTTCTTGTTTTAGCGGTTGAGCACGGATAACATCTCTGTCTACACAGCGACAGTCAGATCCCAGTCATACCTGATACCGTCGTCTGCTAAACTTTTGGTTCTAATCGCAGCTACGACTTCAACATGCGCATATCTATGTGTATCAGCGCCTGTATGTAGACTGTGTGTATGTAGACTGAACGACTAGTTTTCAATCCACGCCCAATATTCTTCTATCCGCAATCCTGATTTCCCATGAAGGTCTATTGGCCGTGCTTGACGTTACCCCAGGGGATAAGCCAATAGTTAGTGTATTATCTCTACAATAATCATAATAATTATGTAGATGATTATTATGATCATTATATAGATAATAACTCGCCATAATTACTCGCCCCCGGAGGAAAAAAAATCCTCGAAGAAATGCGGTCTTCGAAAATCATCCTAATCCTCTGGTGACAAATGTCGATTTTTGTTTAACTCTTAAGAAATATTAATACTCAACAACTTAATATGGATTGATAGGGCCACTTCAGTATTTCAGTGTTCAGCTTTCTTTTAACATCTGTGTTATTTAAATTGTAAATTTGAATCAATTTGTTTATTTGGTTATATAAGAAAGGTTTCATAATGAAAGAAAAGCGTGAGAGTATTAAGTTCTCGTATGTTTTCATTATGGAGCGAAACACATTCTTCTCGATCTATTCTAAAACGGGATCCCGCAAGGCTAAAGTGAGCCTTGCGGGATGCCGTTTTGCGGCCTCATCCTTTGTATATACACGGAAGATATCCGAATGTGAATCTAGGTCCAGTGTCCAATTCGCTCAGGTATCGTGCATCGGTTACAGGGGATGACCGTTAAAGGTATATATTTGTTTACAACATACATCTATGAAACTTTTATTTAAAAAGCTACAATTATCAGTGCACATTATTACCATGTTTTATTTCCGAGCATAATTATAGCTATTTTTGCAAAGCTAAAAAATTTTCTGTTATCTTCAGTAGTAATGTGCTAGCTGTCATTATTAACAAAATGGAAAACCAATGAAAAAAAATTGTTTGTGCATACATTAGAATAAATTAAAATTATTGTAGTTGATATTATGCAGACACGACTAGAAAATTTAAGCATTGTTTATTATTTATTATTACATATTATATTAAGTTGTGGATGTTTTGTTCATACAGCACACTCCAATGTGGAAACGTATAATACCGGCACCGTTAGAGGCGACCATTAATTTTATTGATTTAGGTAAGGGCTTTAATCGCAAGACCGTAACATCCACTTAAAGTGCGATACAGTGATAAATCAATTTTAATTTTAAAAGGTTCTCCTCGCGTCTGGCAACTGAGGTTAACCGCATTCAAATATTTTTGAAATAAATAATCGTAGGAAATTTCACGAGCGACATCATATTTAGCAGCATTTCGATTCCAATCGACAGCATGTGGACGACTAAAATCTAAAACAAGGTGTTTTCGTTTTCTCTGCCTTCTGTTCTGTTGACAACGGCGAACTGTGCGAGCTGTGCAGTGTACAAACGTATACCAGTTTACAATACATAAAAAAGAGGATAGCGGCTGGCCCTCATTCAGTCTGTCTCCGAGCTTCGCCTCGGTATCACGTATCGTTCGGTAGAATTGACAATTATACTGAATATATTACTATCAACCTTTTAAATCTCGTCCAGTGTCCTCATAAAAATACGTGGAGGAAAATTTCGAAATCTTATACGCACATCAACCTGCTGAACATTGTTATCTAAAGAGGAGTCACTGTTTTATAAGGACATCTCCGACACGGTAAGTCCGGTTACTATAGTTTTAAATTTTTTGGGTCGTTCAAGTTTTTTCCAATTTTTACGTTTTATACTTCAATTTATAAAACAATGTTTACATCACTAAAACAGTAACATTGGGAAGAGAATAACGAAGGTGTATGTTTATTGAATAATTATGTTAGCAAGTAGAAGGGTGCGGCTTAACACCAGCCAATGTTACGTTATTGTTTGGATAACCTCTAGGTTTCGAGGTAATTGATGCAGTCACTGTTTTCTGGTACACGGTTATATTCAATTGATGCAGTACCAGCTGATAGCGATCAGTGCTGATTTGTCATGTACGCTTTCTAATACACTATGACGAATTTCTATAACCACAACAGCATTGGAACGTAAATGTTCGTATCGTTTAGCTGCACATTTAAATGCATGTTTATGATTTTTCTGTTGCTTCTAAAAAAACATTGTAAAGAGCTAATGTGGAATATAGTTCATGATTTGTTATGGAGTCCGAGTAAAACTCCTCTTTAAAACAATGCTTAAAAAAATGACATTTTTAAATACATTGTTTTAAAGAGGAGTTGTGCATTATTTTGTATTAAATTAATATGACTTCAATGAGATAGACCTAGTAAAGAATTTTAATTAGAGAAAACAGGCCACAGCACATCAATTACAATTAAGTTAGTTGGTAAGTGAAAACAATTATAGTTAATTGTTGTCTCAGAAATTAATTTTTCAATGATGCATACATAACTTGTTCGAACTACTATGTTAAAAAAAGAAAATTAAAAAAAAAAAGAAATATCAATGTATGATATATACCGCTCAAACGCCTCCACTAATCTTCGTTTACAAATTATCCGCCGTAAACATAAACAATTGTAAGAATTGGTCATTGTCATACAATGCTATTGTCATTTTTGCATCTGTTGTCGTTAAGACATCAGATTCTCAGCACAACTACCGCGTGCATACGAAAATTCCGTTAGGCTACAAAAAGGTCAACATAAGTGCATTACAATGTAGCCTTTGATCGTCTCTTTGTACTTTTAATTTCAAATAGATGGAAAAGAACTCTCCGTAAGCGGATAACACTCTTAGTATGTATACTTGGTTACAAATATGTTATAAATGACCATGGCATGCATTTAATTGAGAATTCTCCCGAACCCGATACCTTAAATTCAGTACAATATAAGATATAAAAGATCACATACCGTTAGTTGCATTTTGGTATAAAGATTAAATCTGAGGGTAATTTTGGTGATATTTAAATCATCGCATGGATTTGTCGTCGGATTGGTATTAAAAAGGTCGTTAAGTTTTGTGAATACATATTTAAGAATCTTATTCTGTCAGGTAAACAAGGTAAGGTCTTTATCTTATGTTGAATATGTACAATCCGCTGTATAGTAGGATAGACTTCTTTGTCAATCCAGGTTGTATTCTAGGGACTGCTTTAATCGTTGATTAGTGTAGTATATTGGATGTATAATAAATTTTAGAAGTATATTACGGTTTATTCTGATACTTTTACTCATAGGTCTATAACACTAAAGATGTTCTGACACAATTTCAGATAACAGGATCATATTCAAAATCGATTTCGTTTTAATACATTTGTAAATATAACATCATTCAAATCGTAGACAACTTTGCATTACCACATTTAGGCCCTTTATGTACGGTAAACATAAGTAATCACGTGTTTGTACCGATGCGAAAAAAATAATTAAAAACAAACGTTATTTAATTCTTAACGAGTGATCGGTATTCCAGTAACATAGTACGTCACCATGGTGAACCGCTTATGCAAACGTTACGTGCGTATAAACCTGAGTGGCCTCGATACAAATGTATAATGGGACAAATCGTAGGGGAGTTTAATGCAAAGTAATCGGTATAAACATATGACGAGATGGAATTATTTTAGGTATTTTAAAAATGTTTTAAAAAGGTTGCCTGGAAAAAATAGCTACCTTAGCTTTTCCTTCTTTGTATTCCCTTTTGTGTAATAAAGTATGTTCTTTTCTATTCTGTTCCTTCTTTATATGCGAGGAATGTGAACTTACGGCCATATTCAGAGAATTCAACTCAATTAAAGCTGGTATTAATTTACTTTAATTGACTATTGGAGTCTTATTACTATTTACGTTAATAAACTGAACTAAATTTATTTTCACATACAAATAATACATATGATATTTCTTCTCGTGAGTGCAATATTTAGTGCCTCTTGGATGGTATTTAAGAAGCTCTGAATGTAAGTATCTATTGATACGCGTAACGACATTTTAATTTTTAGTACAAAATTTAGTTCAAAAAAGGGTGGGCAGATTTTTTCCTCAAAAAGAACTTTAATATCTGTAATACGGCTGCTCATCAAAAAACATGTCCACGTAACGTACGGCACGCTTTGGCGATCCAGCCATTGTGTAACAAAAGCATCGTCGATGACGTTCGCGACTTTCTCCGCAGACGCACAGTCGACTTTAGAGAGCGCGAATCGATGAGAAATCCAAGCCATTATATTATTGAAGCGCATTGAGTCGGAATGGGAATCCCCCTGACGCACGTGACATTTAATCAGAAGTATGACCGGCACGGCGATTTTCGCATGACTGTATGTTTATGTACGCTGTATTTCTACATCCACAGGCATAACTGTGTATTTTTACAATGTACTTTACCGGGTTTCACTATGAACGTACCTCGGTGACGCAGCGTCGACGATAATTTTTTGAAAATAACACTTTTTGAAGATTACAGCAGATTCGTATAATTATACAAAATTGAAACAAGTATACAGTATATTGCGTACAGATTATGATAGATATTATTCGTTTCAAATAGTAACATCCGAATACCATATCATTAACAACGCTTCATGCGTAAACTAATGAAAGTATTGATTTATAATTAATAATTAAATCTTATCCTTTAAACGAGCAATTCTTGTATATATATATATATATATATATATATATATAATCGTAATCTCGGAAACGGCTCCAGCGATTTTCATGAAATTTAGTATGTGCATAGATTCGGGGGCGAAAAATCGATCTAGCTAGGTTTCATTTTTAGAAAATGTCCTTTTATCCCTGTTTTCAGGGAATGAAAAAAATAATTCGAATATGACGGTAAATTTCGCCGCAAGAGAAAATGTCATAATAGCTCGGTCGGTAATCGGGCGGCCCCAAAACAGACGGCCGTGGTTCGCGTCACGATCATTTTACACATTTATTTTTTTTTCGATTCCAGATCATTTCTTTCTTTATTTTTAATTTTTTGTCGATTTGTTATTTTGTAATTTTTTTCCCTATTTTTTTAAGTTCTTTCTTTTGTGAAAAACATCAGTTCGTATTTTCTTATTATTACGTCGGTAAGATCGAAAAATATTATGCATATTTCATTACTCAGTTATTTGTATCTAAATGTAATTTCCAAAATACACGATTTACCCAAAAAAACAAACCGAGCAAAGCTCGGTCCTCCGGGTACTAACAAATTTAACAAAGGACTTGACTAGCCAAAACTGATAAAACAATAGTTGTGAATGTACCCATTTCGGTATTTTTAATGTGAAGAGACGTAAATAACCACATAACTGTTAACAATTAGTTTGGCCACTTTTAAGACTCCTCTCTCTGTCCTCTTTCTTCGCGACCTCAGTAATTCGACCGCAACGAGAGAAAGCGCATGCTATATGCACGTATGTAATTGTGTTACCACCGGAGATGAACTCTCTCGGTCTTCCATTTGACTTTATATGAATCATTTGTGGTATTGTTATTAAAAATGGATTCGCAATTTATAATGGTGATTCGTGCTAGAAAAATAGCGTCCGTCTCCAATACATTAATGTAGTTTAATTCAACTCGTAAAGCGTTTTCGAGTTTTCGCATTTTTTACATAAACAGAACAAAGCATTGTTCTAAAAGTGCGATTGGTTTACGACGGCACTTAATTAACTCGGTTGAACGTAAAAAGAACAAGCTATTTTCCTGTAGCGATGTCTCCAATATTTATATCAACAATGATTTAATCAAGCAATGATTAGAATTAATTTAAAAAATTTAACAATATACCTACATAATATGTAGATATATTGATTGACGGTGGTAGGGCCACGCAGCAGCCTCAGCTGTTGCACGAATGGGCAGGCCCGTCCGGGTAAGTACCACGGCCTCACAGAAGACCAGCGTAAAGTGGAAGTAAGACAAATACTTTCGCGTTTCGTCTGGTGAGTGAGGTAGCCGGAGCCCAATTGTCAAAAGATTGTCAACGCATCTGTAACGCATGGCAGATGTCCACGGGTGGCGGTAATCACATAACATCAGGTGAACCGTCTGCCCGTTTGACAAGTTTTCGCATAAAAAAAAAGATACTATCTACATCAGTGATTCTCAACCACTGTGCCGCGGCACTTTTGTGTGCCGCCAAATTTCAAAAGTGTGCCACCAAATTTTTGCAAATATATAATAATGTTAATATTATTAAATTATATCATTTAAAAAGAAAACTATTTTTTGGCATTAGCCAACATTAAAACTAAAAAAAGACCAAGATTGTTAAATGTAGAAGACGATATGAGAGTAGCATTGTCATTTTTACGACCAAATATAAATGAAATTATCAAAAAACATCAAGCTCAAATTTCGCATTAAAATATTTTCATTATTAGCTTGTAATTAATCCCTCAATAAACGTTTAGTTATTATTGTAATATATATTAGTTTATTTCGTATATTTAAAATTTTTATCATAAACTATTTATGCAGTGTGTTGTAGTAAGTAAATAATTTTTATCTTTTTCTTTGTGTGCCGCCAAATTTTGAAATCGTTTAATATGTGCCGCAACAAAAAAAAGGTTGAGAATCACTGATCTACATAGACAATGGGTGGGGTTCTTTTTGTTATTTATAAGAATGTTTACGAGTTAGATTTAAAATTTTATACATAAACATAAAGTTTTCAGTAGATCCCTTTTTTTAAACCCTCCATTTCACATGTTTCTATAAAATTAACAATGCAGCGTTATTTCATCTCATCATTATTAATATATTTTAGTACATGCAAAGTTTTAAGCCACTGGCTATAACATCTGCCGATTTGATTTAAATGCAATATAAGCACTTGTAGCCTTAAATTAGATTAACAAAAGAGACATTATGCAGGTTAAGGTCGAATACAATATCGTCACCCGTTACGAAGCGATCTTACGCGTGAAATTACAAAATGCTACATCCTTATGGTACCGTTTCTTTCTGTACGAACAATATTAACTTTGAGGTCACCGAAAAGTCTTAACCGTGACTCATTTACGACTTCGTTTTCATGGCTAAATTATTAAAATAAACACTTAGAGCAATTCGTAGAAAATACGTTTTAAAGCCCTTTTGTTTAATAATTTATGTTATGCCTTTGATTCCCAGCACATATACCATTGTAAACGATTTAGTTATTGTTTGTAAGGTAAAAATAAATAAAAGTTTTTCTAACACTTGACCTAACCCTTATTTCTCTAGCTCAAGAAAAGGTTTTTTTTTTCAAAACAACACATACTTCTCATACTGTCCAAAATATTGCCGAATAAGCGCTAAATCAATAAATTTAAAGAAATTAGGAACGCAGATGCAGAAAATTATTATTATATATGTATATATTAGGTATTTCATTTTAAACAATTGCACCTATTAGTGTTTTTCTTATCTATCTATTAGTGAGTTTCTACTTAAATAGTTTTTCAGTTTCAATTTATTGTTCATAATATTGATTAGAATAATAATAATAGCTATATACAGCAACTTTGTTTGGGCATTAAATCATCAAATATTACCATTACATAAATACACTATATTACAGTTTACATACACTACAATATGTTACATATTCTTGTAAGCTAATATTACTAATAAATCTAAAAGAGAACGTATTGAAATTACTTTATTTAAGAAATTCTTTAAAAATATAAAGTACATAAACAAAAAATTAATGGTGCAATATTTTTTGTTTCAGATCCAAAATGTTAAAACTAAGTGCGCTTATGTTTTTGTTATCTTCGACGTATGTGAATAGCCAATGCTTCTACAAAGATGATTCATCAAAAAAGTTGGATGGACAGGCCCGCGAAACTTTATACAAAGGGCAATTGGATTTCACGCTGAGTCTGTTTAACGAAATTAATAAATTAGTGCCCGATGACAACATTTTCTTTTCGCCATTTTCAATATATCATTCGCTCTTGTTGGCTTATTTCGCTTCTGGTGGACAAACTGAGAAATCATTGAAAGACTCTTTGAAAATTGCTGATGCCCTAGTAAGTTATATTTATTTATTTTTGAGTATGGACCAAAAAGAAACAGAAACAAAATCACAACAATTAACAAAATTATTTAAATGACATCTGAATTATAGTTGAAAACTACTTTGTAATAGATAGAAGAGATACAACGAAATAAAATATAAGTACAAGGTCAACACAGTAAGGATAAAACATAAAACAAACTTTAAACACTCTAATACTGAAACAAAACTAAAGTAGAAAAATATAGGTAGTACAGTGACTATATAAAATTTTGTTTTATAAACATTATTATTCCCTATATACTGTTTTGTTGTATAGATTTATATTCTAGAACACAAATGTTATAAAGTTTCAATCGTACAGTGTTACGTATTTATTTAAAATCATTACAATTTTCTTGTTATTAAATAAGAGATAATGAATGAAGTTGCTATCCGCAACCAAACAAGCAACTAATGGCTATATGTGTGGCTAAGTATAAGTGGCTATATGAGTGAAGTGGTATGTTATTATTGTTCAATGTAACTTGTTATATTTGCAATAATATACTGCAATGTAATATTTGAGAAAGCGGTGGTGGCTATAATGCTTGTTATATTATATGCTTGTTATATATGGATTCAGGGAATTGTTTAAAAATTTCCAGGACAAAATCAATCTAATGACAGCCTACAAGGTGGACAAGAGGTCGCGGGCAGTGAACAATAACAGTGACAGCTACGAGTTCACCAATGCTAACAAGATGTTCGTTGACAGTGACGTTCGTGTTCGTCAGTGCATACTCGACCTTCTTTTCGGAGAGTTGGATACCTTGGTACGAAATTATTTCTACACCATACCTTAAATAATGACATGCATTGTTCCGTATTGAAGATTAAGTACCTAAATGTGTAAATAATATGAACTTAAACCTTTAAAAGATTTAATTTCATATTACCAAAAACAAGTCTTTGATGTTCTTTTGGCGCGTTTGGTAAATTTTTAAGATGCGCGCGCACCGACAGCCAAAAAGCAACACAATGAAGTTGGTTACAAAGCAAACAACTTTGACCAATTTCACGGTATTATCATTGCAACCAATTACCACTTTTTCATATTTACCTATATTCCAATTTATATAAAGAATCCGTTATCAATTACATAATGGTATTATCACAAAGAAAATCTACTGGCACAGGGGATAATTTTTTTTGTTATTTTCCTTCTGTAACGCTTACTTTTCTGATTGTAAGTATGAACGAAATAGTAAATTTTGTTTTAATGGCTTGCTTCTTTGATCACATTTACTGTTATTAAAGAAATAAGCATTACTGTTACATACATTGGTAAATTTAATAATCGATTTCCCGCAACTACTAATAAACGACAATTGAATTAGTACAGCCATTTAAAACTTTCAAAGTACATGTTTATAAAATTTCGGAAAGTTTTATTTATTAAATTCCAAAATTTGAAGATTAGAAACAGTTTATAAAACCGCATGTGTATATGTAGAAAATTTAATAACTACACTACGTAATACGGCATGTACCTATTGTAGTAATAGAAAATATGTGAACACAGACATATAATTCGTTTTTAATACACATAATAGCTTTATTTATATGTATTCGTCAGATTGACATTATGAAGTCGTTTCTAATAAACTAAATGTCCTTCAAACTGGCTTTGCGGTTGAATTATTCTTATACGTCCGTTATAGGAAATTATTATTTCAATGTTTACAATGACTTATAATCACATCTGCTCGTAATAATACAGCGGCTAGCAACATTTGTGTGTTATAGACATAAAGAAAGTATATAATTGTGTGCTAATGTTATCCTAATGCTCACAAGCATTCTACGATGTTAACTGCGATCATTGCTGTATAAAATGACACCTCTGTCGTATATCTGTACATTTTACTTTTTTTTTTCATTTACTTCGTTTCTGTCAAGAGGTGGATACTAAAATTGAGAATACTTTTTTTTAACAGTAAACGCTGGTTTTAGTAATTATGATAATCCTGTAAGGCTCCCTAAACTAAATTGAATAGTTATACATACGTCTGGTATACGGAATTACTTATATTTTTAATAATATGAAGATATATTGAACTCAACACGACTTGAAAGAGCATCGTTTTACATTAATTTATTAAACACGACCGTCGTTGGGGAATAAATATCGATAACTTTAATTGTGTTAATCTCTTATTCGAGATATAGTCCTCAGTTATTCACGTTATCAGTTTTTTCTTGTTATCCTTGGCACCGCGCAACATCAATGCACGTTTAACCTTTAAGTACTTATTTAAGTATGTGTAATTTATAGTTTATTTATAAATAGTATTTTTGGAATATGTTATAAACAAAAAATCCAAAAGTATATAAAAGTCATTTCAATCTTGACCTAAAACCACGCAAATATTATCGGTTGAATACAAGAAACTGTGGCCTCTTCAACGAGTCCTGAAGAAAAAACACCAATCAAAAACACAAGTTTTGTCGACTCCGACGACTGACAAGCAATAGTTAACTGCTATCCCTGTATAAATATAAAACACAAATAATAAATATTTTTTAACGGTGGTAGAGCCACGCAGCAGCCTCGGCTGTTGCACGAATGGGCAGGCCCGTCCGGGTAAGTACCACGACCTCACAGAAGACCGGCGTAAAGTGGAAGTATAATACTTTCGCGTTTCGTCTGATGAGTGAGGTGGCCGGAGCCCAATTTTCAAAAGGTTGTCAACACATCTGGAACCCTAGGGTGTAGCAGATGTCCATGGGCGGCGGTAATCACTTAACATCAGGTGAACCGTCTGCTCGTTTAGCAACTTTTCACATAAAAAAACCCAATCCCTGTAAAAACAAATACAGACAGGACTTTCTCAGATATTCAATAAAATTATTGTTTAGTTTTTTTGTTATTAATATGACATATATTCATATGTATCTCTTTCCAGAACTTCCATGACAACCCGGGCCAGTCTCGTGACATTATCAACAATTGGGTGGCACAAATAACTAAGAACAACATAAAAAACTTGCTCCCGGAAGACGCTATCACTCAGGCTACCAAATTGGTGCTGGCTAACGCTGCTTACTTCAAGGGGGTGTGGGCTTCCAGGTTCCCCGCCGAAAGAACCAAGAAGGAGCCGTTCTTTGTTTCCGAAACTCGGCAAACCCTTGTACCATTCATGAAACAAAAGGGAACTTTCCATTACAGTAAGTACAATTAAACACAGAACACGTAATGAACTTATTTTAAACCAGCTTTTCGCCCGCGGCTTCGCTCGCTTTGAAGCTCTTAAATTAACATCTTTCTTTAAAAAATATATACATTTTTTAAACAAAGATATTTACAACCCTTTACAACCCTTTTTCCGCTTCCAATTATAAAATAGCCTATGTCCTTTCTCAGGCTCTATAGGTACCATCTGTACCAAATTTTATTTAAATCGGGTCAGTAGTTTTGGCGTGAAAGCGAGACAGACAGACAGAGTTACTTTCGCATTTATAATATTAGATTTATATATATGAGACAAAACAATTTTTCACTTTTACCATGCAGATATTATTTCACAAAGAGGTTAATGAAATTGAATATTATGTTAATTTGTTAAGTTTTTAAATTATATTTAAATTACTTATGAGTTCGTAACATTTTTTTGAGTGTGTATAATGTCTTGAGAAGTAATTATTTGTTATTGCTATTACCAAGAACCAAGTTTAAGACACAGGGTAAGTTTACTTAGTACTAGAAATTTGGCAAGATTAGAAAGCTAGTACGGTTCCATTATATTTTACAATATAAATGAGATCAGTTCACTTAGCCGGTTTCGATATTCTCAATCACAGTTATCTTGCAAGATATTCTATAAAAGATAATTATTATTTTTTTCTATTCCAGTGGTTAACGACGATCTCGGTGCGCAGATTTTGGAATTACCTTACAAAGGAAATGATATCAGCATGTACATTCTCCTGCCCCCTTACTCTATGAAGGAAGGTATGTAAGACGCAATGTAGCATATCGTTAGTTATATCCGGTGGCGCAAAGGTGAACCCACGTCTTCGGTATTCGCGGCCTGACGCTTTAGCCACCAAGCTAAACGGCTGATTGCCACACTGACGAAAATCTTAACGTCTTTTATCTACACTGTTTTTTAGCATTTGAAGCAATGTAGATAAAAGACGTTAAGATTTTCGTCAGTGTGGCAATCAGGCGTTTAGCTTAGTGGCTAAAGCGTCAGGCCGCGAATGCCGAAGACGTGTGTTCGATTCCCACAACGGCGACAATCTATTCATACTTTTTCTACAAGTTTTAATGTTTAATCTTAAGTGCAGAGATTAGCACTATAAAAAAAGTTTAAATTTATATTAAAATACCTCGAAAACGCGTTATTGGTCTATATCGATCTTGTGTAACAAATTAAATGGTGTTTCGTTGATAATAATAATGTTACGGATTTAATGCGTTTCATTTGTTTTTCAATTCAAACATTTGAATCTTTTCATAGTATACATGCATCCAAATTAAACACAATTAACTTTGCAAATCTGTTATTTACCAAAATTCAATTTCCGATTTGACTTGTACAGTGTCGACTATAGATTCGTTAAATCAACGCTAAGTACGCATGTATTGCAGAAAGCCATTTATTTGTCAAAAGGTGTAACAAACATCATTGCCAACCTGACACCAGAGCGGCTCGCAGCTGTTGTTGAAGAAGGTTATATGGGCCGTGAAGTCGTTGTAGAGATTCCGAAGTTCACTATCGAAAGGAAGCTCAAGATAAGACAGGTAACAACAGATCAAAATCTGTAAAGTTACTTTAATACTGAGTATAGCAATTTGTAATGCTATTATAAATTACTTTAATATTACACATATCATAAGTTACAAATCAACTTAAGTTAGTAAGATCAAAATATATTGCTACTTTATAAAATCTATAACATTAGCAGATGTTCGATATATTACATCTATACAGTCTATACAGATAATTGGAGTGTCTGTTTGTAATATTAAAATAACCGCATTTTTACTAAATGCATATGGATGTATAAACGGTACATATGCCAAAATAACATTTTTTTGAATTTTTGTCTGTCTGTCTGTCTGCTTGTTCCGGCTAATCTCTAAAACGGCTGGACCGATTTGGACGGGACTTTCACTGACCTAATAAGGAATAATTTCGACTACTTTTATTTAAGACTTTTTTTTTAATTCCACGCGGACGAAGTCTCTCGTACAGCTAGTTTTAAATATGAATAGTAGAAAGTTAAACAAGTTCGTAGCATTTTAGTGAGGTAACATGACTTATTTAGAGCCTTGTCTCCAAGATTTAAGGTGTAAAACTCACGCGTATTGTAGATGTTTTCAAGTGCCGGTAATCACTTAATATTGATTGAACGGCCATAAAAACCCTTTCATCAAAACATCTATTGGTGCACGCGGAGAAGTAAACACGCGACCTTAAAAACATCTAAATCACTAGGTCATTCATTGTTAATTTTTAATACACATATAAATAAAATAAATAATAAACTCCATTCCAACATTCATGCGCTGAAAAAACTGACTAACAAATTTAAAACATAAGAGCAATGACCTCTATGACTCCTGATTAAGAGTTTTAACCTCTTAATTTATTTTTTTTCTGATGTGAAAAGTTACCAAACGCGCAAACGGTTCACCTGATGTTAAGTGACTTTCTCAATATTTCCGTTTATTATACGAGTATTTTACTGTTTATAGGTTTTAGAGTCCATGGGCGTGGGTGACTTGTTCGATGCGACAGCCGATTTTAGTACACTAACTGAAGACCCAGAAGTACTTTTCGATGATGCCGTGCACGAAGCGAAGATCCAAATCGATGAAGAAGGTAAATAATTTTATATTGACTCATTGATTATATTTTTCCTCTCCTTCAGTAACTATACTCGATAAAAAATTGAACAACTGCTGTATTCACAAAGTGGTTTTATGAAAATCATTCTTTTTTTTTTTAATAAAAGTAAAGAATTCTTTACGAAAGTCTAATTCGACAATTGATTCCATTAAGTAATGTCCTTTGATTTTATCCAATAAATGAAAAAAAAACGTAATGAAATAACTGTAAAAGTGTTGCGTATTTCAAATTCAGTTAATAAATTTTTATTTTTCCACAGGCACGGTAGCTGCAGCCGCTACAGCAATTTTTGGTTTCCGATCATCACGACCGGCGGAGCCAAGCGTATTCATTGCCAACTTCCCTTTCGTGTACATCGTGTACGAGCGCCCCACCAACTCTGTGCTCTTCATGGGCGTGTACAGAGATCCTAAGAAGTAGTTTCTATATTTTAGTGTCAGTGATTTACTTTAAAATGTATTTATTTATTTTCACCTTTGTATTACGATATGTAAGTTTTAAATTAAGGACAACATCGGTAAATGTGAGCTTTTACTTGGTCAAATAAATGAAATGTATTTTTTTTACGTAACACATGTCTCTTGGTTGGTGATTTCATATACAGCGTGTCTTTACCATCGCGACAATAAATGAACACACATATAGGGGATAACTTTTTGAAGTTGTATTAAACATTTAAATTCTTTAAACATCAATATTTACAGAGTTATAAAATTTTCTAAAACAAAGAATTTTAGAACACCCTTACCTATGAAAGCGTAACGTAAAATTCATTTGTAAAGGTCGCAAAACAAATGAATGGGTTGAATGAATTGAAAAGAGACAAAACATACTGTTAGAAGGAGAGGCTTGTAATACGACGCTGTGGCGCGAGTTGTATAGGATGTTAAAAATTTTGTTTCTTTTTTACTTAATTAGTTTGTTTGAAAAATATTTTTTTTTAATTATAGATTTTGTTTAACGTTAATATTTTTTTATGATTATTGGCAAGTAGCGTTAGACGTGTGTTCATTTATTGTCGCGATGGTAACGACACGCTGTATACGTTGGTTACATTGCGTAATTACTATAATAAATGTTTAAAAAGAACTGACTAGGTAGACGATAAAAGTAAATTACTAACTACAAATGTTTAAATCAATATATTTTTTTAATAAATTCGAATTCAACCATTGGTTTCTCATGTTTCGAAACATCCAGAGGAGAGCACTTAAAATTCTGTGGTGAAATACGCATTCTTTTGTGTTTGTATGAAAGAGGAATAAGAAAATGAAATAAGAATAAGAAAGAATATAACTTCGTAAAATGGTTTAAAATTAGCAGTGGCTTCGTTGTATTGTTTTCTTTGGTTACTTTAAGTTGTATTCGTTCAATTGGTATTTCCTATCCCCAAAGACTTATTTGCTATGATTTCGATTACAATAAATTAAATTATAAAATTTAAAATCAAATATCAAAATTTGAAAATAATCAATTACACTACTGTAATGTAAAACTAGACTTAAAAGTTTTACCCGACCGAGTATTGAGGCTTCCGTCAGATTAAAAATTATTAACTTTTAATGCAAAATATGCTGATTGACTCTAGTCTGGCAGTGGTGGTGTGATTGGGTCTACATTTTATTGTTTTTAATAATAGGATCTTAAACTGATTGGTAGCAAGCCTGTTCTCTACTAAAATTTCGACATTTATTAAAAGAAAATTATAAGGAAGATATTGATAGGAAGATAAATAAAGAAATTTATAAAAAGATAAGATAAATGAAACAATACTGTAAGACATCTCTGCATAGATCGGACCAGATTAAATAATGAAAAAGTTGAACATAGTCCGAGTGCACTATAAAATTAGAACCTAAAACATTTCATTTTGTCCAGTGGCACTGGATATTGTAGTGTTTAAGTAAGCTAAACTTCACGAAATAAAAACGTAAATTCAATAAATAAATAAATTTCTACCTATTTATTATTTAACTTTTGACTTCCATTTCGACCGGTCTGTCGGCCTGCATCCAACGCGTCGTTGTGTCAGTGGGCGGGGCACATAGCCGGGAGAACCGATCGCCTTTGCGACTTGGAAAGGTTCTAGAGTGGAGACCACGTGACGGCAAGTGCAGCGTAGGAAGGCCTTCCACAAGGTGGACGGACGAACTAGTAAAGATCGCACGTATATATACTGTATAAATATATGTTGGTATCCCCCACATCCTGAACTCTAAACATCTCAATATCATTGAGCCAGTTGGCGTTCTTTACAATCTACACATCACACGTAAATGGTGAAGTTGTCCCCGTTCATGGTCCATGAGTCAATGACAATAATCAGGTTCTTATTACTCTCATCCTACTTACTTTACCCGCTCAAAACAGTACCTAAATAATTGCACATGCGCTCTTTTTATAGTATAGATAACAAGAAATGCGTATAAGAATGCGTATAAGGATCCCTTCAAATTTAGCTGGAAAAACGTGATAGCAGCCACCACAATGGACTAGAGACTCAATTTATTTGATATTGCCATGCTCGGCTTATATGATGTACACGCTCTTACTAAACTTCTGTTCAAGACTGCAAGTAATAGGTGTATTCAGCAGGTACGTAATAATAAACGCCGAAACATCTTAAATTCCATAGCTTCCATCGGTTTATATCAAGAAGTTTCTTGGAATTATTAATATTGGCGAAGAAAGAATTCACGCTTTGATTTCAAGGGAATTTTGAGTTGTACGATATTAGCCGTCGTTTTATTTCACACTCCTCTGGACCTCCAAATCGAGTGTATGACTGACAGAGTTTTTGAGTTCTTCTCGTCAACAATGTTGACCCCTATATCCAGTTGCCATAGATCAAATCAAATGCGGTAAGTTGTGATAATAGCCACCGTGTGATTGATTATTGTTTTTTTTTTTAAAACATTGCCATTACTTTATTTTCTGAATTGTCCCCTCAGACCTGTTTCCCACTTTATACTCGTAAACTTTCCTTTTCCTTATTATGGCATAAATCATACGTTCTTCCCTTGTCTAAGGCTTAGGCCCGGTTTCTAAACGACTGATCATCGTAGATGTTAACTAATCAGCTGTCAAATGGCTTTTCAAATGTTATTTGAGTTTATTTATTTATCAACAACAAAGTACACACTGTGACAATAATTATACAAGTTTTACAAAAATGTGATGAGTGGTACCTTAATTATAGGTAAAAACTACATTACAACAGGCAGTAGAGACAAAAACCAAAAAAACTTTTACAAAACTAAATGTGAAATACGAGCATTATAATAATACAAACATTAACTAAAATACGGTTAAAACAGAAAAAAAGCAGTATAAAATACGTTACTAAAAAAAAAATATGTTACAATAAAAAAATAGATGAAATGACTGCCAATAATATTTTTATAAATTGTTAATTTATAAAAATATTATTATGAGCTATATATATGAGTTGCCAAAAGGATGGTTAAACTCTCTAGAAACGATGATAAGTGTTTCAGAAACTGGGTCGTAATCTCTATTTTCCCCTTACTTTCGAAAGTCGAAAGTAATTAAACTATCTTAGTTTGTCTATTAATATATCCTTTTCAGTTTGGTTTTAGACCATAGCACCAACCCCACCCTTCTAAAGGTAACTGGTAATAACTTGGGCGGGAATAGAGGCGTGTAAAATAACTGTGTTGCTTTTAATCGACTTAAAATTATTAAGCTTTGGTTTTTTTTTATGCGAAATGTTGTCAAACGAGCAGTTCACCTGATGTTAAGAGAATACCGCCGTCCATGGACATCTGCCACACCCGAGGGTTACAGATGCGTTGACAACCTTTTGAAAATTGGGCTCCGGCTACCTCAATCACCAGACGAAACGCGGATAATTTGTCATACTTCCACTTTACGCTGGTCTTCTGTGAAGTCCTGGTACTTACCCGGACGGGCCTGCCCATTCGTGCAACAGCCGAGGCTGCTGCGTGGCCCTACCACCGTAAAATCTATGTTATGATATCTGTGCTAATACAATAAAGTGTAACCAAGGTGGTTGGGAGTAATCGAATGCCATGACCTGCAGTTTTTAAGTCCCTTCTTACAGTGTTTGTGATATAATCATGACAGAACCCTTCGCTCTTCAAATACCTGTTACATCTGTGTTCTACTTATAACACTGGCTTCGTCCAATATTTGTTTCCTCTCCAACTTGGAATGCACTTCCTTTCGAAATTAGAAGGACTACCAATATATAGTTAGATAGCTATTCGTTTTAGGTCAAAGTACAGAATCTTTTTTTGAATAATTTGGAAAATCAGTCACATCATTAGTTTACTCGCTGTAATAGTTGAGGCTTTTATATTTGGGCACTATCAAAAATATTAAATGTCCTGTGCTTTTCAATCATCACGTTAGCTAAGCGGTTATTATAATGCATTATGCACTAACTGTGAAATTCTTATATTACTATATTATGATGTTGTTTTTAATATACGAATATATTGTTACGCTTACGGGGTTGACGCCTTAAATGTCAACGATCCTTCGATGACAGTTTGAAATGACGTATATGATTTTATTTTAAATTATTAAAAATATAATTATAATTTGAAAGAAGTTTAGATTTCCACAACTTTATTTGAAAAACGAACGAAATTCCGACTATAAAAGGGGCTCGGAGGGCGTTAGACGGCAGTTCAGTACAGGAAATCGAGAAAGAAAGAAGAGAAAGAAGGAACAGGAAGAAGAAAGTGAAGTAATAGTGAAACAGTATAGTAGTGAACAGTGACGCGAAGTGACAAGTAGTGTATAGGCGCATGGGGTGGGTTGGTGCAGTAACGTGTGGATCGTTGCACCAGTGGACGCGTACGTGGAGATTGGTGCGAGAGGGAGCGCTGTCAATGTAAGATTGGTGCGGAACGGGAGGGTTGTCGCACCGGTAGAAGTAGTAAGGACTAGAGTGGTATTGAGTGGGCCGCTGTGCAAGTCGTTGTTGGCAACAATAAAGATAACATTTAAATGACCGGCGTTTCACTCCAGTCCCGAAACCCCAGCTCGTAACAATGTTGTTCCCGAAAGCGGTACGTCTTTAGTATCTTGGTATTTCATCAGATCGATCTATGTCCCATAAGGGCCCATTCCTTTCCCCGGAAGCTTTCAGAAACCCGCAACCTTAAATGAAAACTTACGTATCTTCCATTACCTTCTTAGCCTTCTTAATGGTACAAGCTATCGTGTTTTCATGTTTCAATACTGGTTCCGTTTTTCATGTTTCAATATTGTAAAAATAAGATTGGCAGATAGTTGCTGTAATTTATGAAGTTAAACTTCTTTAGGCTCGATGTGCCAATTGAGATTTTTTTTTAATGACTTAAACGTTTCCTTTCATTTTTTGGATATCTATTTAAACAAATATTTATACTATTTGTAAGATTTAT